GAAGATAATGATTAGTTTATAAAAGAATCAGGATATACAGAAGCAGCTTTGAAGATTGTTTTCTTTATATCAATTTCAGAGACGCTGGATTATGCAAATATTGAAAATGGCATCAAGTAGATTGACTCTGTATTCTTGAAGCCAATAATTGGTTTATAAAACGATCCGGGGAATATAGAACCGACTTTGAAAATTGTTCTTATTATATTAAATTCAGAGAAGCCAGCTTATGCAAATACATCAAGTAGACTGACTCTGTTCTCCTTACGAAACGCTGTTATCGTTCTTGAAGATAATGATTGGTTTATAAAATATCCAGGGTATACAGGTTTCGAAAATTGTTCTCGTTATAACAAATTCAGAGAAGCCAGGTTATGCCGATATTGGTAATGGCGCCAAGTAGATTGACAATCTACGAAATACTGCCGTTCTTGAAGACAATGATTAGTTTATAAAAGAATCAGGATATAAAGAAACAGCTTTGAAAATTGTTCTCATTAAATTAAATTCAGAGAAGCAAGGTTGTCGTAATATTGGTATTGGCATCAAGTAGATTAACTCTGTACACTCTACGAAATGATGGTATCGTTCTTTAAGATAATGATTAGTTTATAAAAGAATCAGGGTATGCAGATCCATCTTTGAAAATTGTTCTCATTATATCAAATTCATAGAAGCCACGTTATAAAAATATTAAAAGGCATCAAGTAGATTGACTCTGTACACTCTACGAAATGCTGTTATCGTTCTTTAAGATAATGATTAGTTTATAAATGAATCAGGATATACAGAAACAGCTTTGAAGATTGTTTTCTTTATATCAATTTGAGAGACTCTGGATTATGCAAATATTGAAAATGGCATCAAGTAGATTGACTCTGTATTCTTGAAGCCAATGATTGGTTTATAAAATGAGCCGGGGAATATAGAACCGACTTTGAAAATTGTTCTTATTATATTAAATTCAGAGAAGCCAGGTTATGCAAATACATCAAGTAGATTGACTCTGTTCTCCCTACGAAATGCTGTTATCGTGCTTGAAGATAATGATTAGTTTATAAAAGGATCAGGGTATACCGAATATCGATAAAATTTGGATAAAAATGCGGAAATTGCAAACTGTGGGCCTTTAAAGAACAATCAGATGCTAAAATAAAAAGATTGCTGGAACATAATATGTAAATGCAAACATTTTAAAATTACGTTCAAACTGAAATGTGTGTTTTCAGTGCCGGAAACCTCGCTTATCCTTTTTAAGTATTTTCTTCGTTCACTAATAAAGATATTGCATATGAGATATCGAGCCTGCCTACCTGACACCGTTATCTAGCAGACAATGATTGCAACAGATGTCCGGTGAAAAAAATTTAAAGTGGAGTATAAAAAATATTTTTCCCAGAAAACGCCTGATTTTTAAAATTGTCCTCCTTTATACCGCGGGGTTTAAATACTGTGAATGATCAGAAAATTACCCTAATGTTGAAAAATCGTAACTCATGAGACGACTTTTACTACTTCCTTTGGCATCCTCTCTTTCCGTTTTACGTTCTAAAAAGAATAAACTGCGAATATAAAAATCAGCCAGGTGTGAAAATAACATTGGAATAACTCAGACGCAAATTGTGAAGGACCTTGCAGTGAATCATATAGAATATTGATAAGCTTGCGGTACGGAAATATTGTTTTCTAGTTCAAATCACGGTTTGAATACATTTGTGAATCATCGAGCTCATTCATAACAAGTCTGTATCGTTTACCTAGAAAATCATACTTGTTATCAGTAAGTATCACAATGTACGTAAGCTGATTGCGAGTGAATGTCAATCAGTATTTACTGTGATTCGTCAGTATTTACAATGGAATGAATATGGAAACAAAATAGTCTATTTTCCTTTGTTAAAAACCTAAATACCCTTATAGGAACTATCTTTGATAATTACAGATGTACTTTCTATTCTAGGAATATCGGCACGCTTTTCCTAGTCACCCTGTATAATGTGGTAATTCCGACGATTCCACTGGAAGCTTCATTAATCAAAACAAATATTTTTCTCACACTATCCTCCGCATAACTACAGTTTGTATCGGGATTTCACGGTTAATATTAAAATAAATCTCGTATTATCTCTGTTTCTTGATATTTGTTCGAAAGTAAATGTGCAGCTATAGTTGTTGCAATTGCAGATAAATCGAAACGAATACAACAAAGTGGAAAAATTCAACGGATATAAAGAAATCGTTTACATTTTTATCGAAAGTTCACATACGTTTTTACGATACCGATATGATAGATACAAACACAAATACATAAATTATTAGTGGTGGATTATTTTATTATTTATAGAGAATGTACGAATAAATTGAAGAGGCTACTCGTTGCTTGGTCGTTTCCTTCCAAAAAGTTGCGAAAATTTGACATATTTAGATATAAGATACAATATACAATCATCTACCTAATGATATCAAAACCTTAGTTCCTACCAAGTCTTTTAAAAAACGTGTGCAAGCATTTTTGGTAGAAAAGTGCTATTATTCTGTTAATGACTGTATCGATTTTGTCGTAAATTTGTTTCATTGTATTTTGACGTTTCATATCCGCGAGGCTGACATGAGTAAAAGCTATTATTATTATACATGAAATATATTTAGAATCCCTCATAGAAAACTGAATAACATACAGGGTGTTCTATTTAAAATAAGCAAGGTGGTATCCTCTTGCGGTCCCACCACTTTGATGAAATTTTAATTGAATTTCTCTCGTCACTAATACTTCATAACTGTATTATGTCATCATTCGAATTAAATCGAACGCTGCAGTTCTACGTGGGACACTCTGTATGTGTATATGCATCAGGTGATCGAAAATATTTGCAAAAGTGGTCTTACACGTCATACAGATAATATAATATGGGTACTGCAACCTTTCTACAATAAAAGGGCGTTTATCTTTTGAATATTGCATGAACCCGTATCGGAAGTTGTGTTGCTGTGTCGTATTAGATATGCCGTGACTATCATCGCGAGAATATCTCCAGGAATAGAGGAATACATTGCTTATTATTCTCTCGGGGTTTTAATTAAACGGGATCGCGTTAATTGGACTATGAGAAAAATTAATCGTCTCAACAGAAATTGAAATTCTCGGTGAAACATTGCTGAATCGTTGCTTTCAACATCGGCCTTATATCAGAAGCGCTCGCGGCCCACTTGAATATTGTTTGCGAAAGAAATGAATTAATCAAGGAATCCATCCCATTCGTGAAATTTGCGACGGGACGAAACAGTTGAATAGAAGCAATGGAGCATGACTATGCGATCGATCTTACGAATTTCTGGAAAATGATTGAGTGTGGGATGACTCATTTCGTTTAGAGACTGCCCAAATTACGTAACAATTTCAGTCAAGGGTCGAGTGTAATAATATACAGGGCGATTCAGAAAATCAGAGTAATATTTCTGAGGTGGAATTTCAAAAATTTCCATTTCCAATTTCCAAAAATAACACAATAAACACAGGTCCTAAAATACTCCCTTTCCGAGGCAGTTTTAATTTTGAAAACGAAAAAAATTAGATTCACAGAATGTGTATAAAGATATAATCATACACGTAGTAGGTAATAAGCACATAACCAAACCATTTTGACTGCTATATCGTGGTAATGAGATATTTTGGGGTATACAGGGTGGGTTTTTAAGAGTGAGAAACCTGAATACAAACATTGTAGCCAACAATCTGCTCCTGAGTTGGAAAATATTTTTACATCTACAGGGTGATTCACAACGTCGTTTTGACGAAAACATACGGACTCCTTATTTTTTCCATTTCTTTGATAGTTTATACAGGGTGATCAATAAGGCAAAATGAACAAAAGCTCAAAATTTTCACGTGGAGCACTATGAATATTTTTACATTTTTGATTCTAATTTTCACAAATTTTTTTCTGATACAAGATTTATGCGCATTTGTATGACAGGTTTTTGGGTTACACAAACACATTGACACCTTTTTGAATTTTCAACCGTATTGATGAGGCTGGGTAGATTTAGTTTATAGTGAAAATTCACAAAAATTCTAAAGATCTCCAGTTACCAACTAAATGCTATTTTTTAATTGAAAGGTGTTGAAAGATTCTGGGCCACCATGTATAAACAATCCATAAAACTAAAATTGTAAGCAGACTGGGACAAAATATGGAATATTTTCCTGACAAAAAATTCAGTACTCAATCAAGACTATCTGTAATAAAATGTAGGCATTTCCATTTAAAAAAAAATCATATTCAGTTATGAATCACCCTGGAGAAATAAAAATATTTCCTAAATAAGGCTACAATATTTGTAACTTTTTTAGATGGACTAGAAACATGGCAACGTTTTTCTGAATCGCCCTGTATATTATATGCTTTAAATTATAAAAACATTCCATATAATCAAGTATGCCATTCTGGTGTCAATTTCAAAACAAAAGTTTTAAGAATTTTTGAAATTCAAAAAGTGCCCAGGACTGACATTTTTACTACCTACTGACTTGAAAAATTTGTTTTGGTATTCATATATAGAAGCACAACATTCGTTATCTTTAAAATGAGATCAAAATATTTTCATATATACCTAATTTACACTCAGAAGATAATATTATATCAACAAAACATAAATATGGCCAGTCAAAATATAAATACCCAGGAACAAAATCGTATCTTCCTTTAATATTGGAAACATCTTTGCAGACAAGACATTTGTACAAAAAAACACAAAAAAACTATGAATATCATCACTTTCAGTAACTACTAACTGTTTCCGTATCTTCATTTGATAGAATTTAGCTACACTAGAAGCCTGAAATATTTGAGTAATTTCACAACATCCCCAGCATCTGTTTCGCAAAGATGCGTCTGGATTATCGAATTTTCAAACTGAGATTCCAACGCCAACTATTGGCAACCGTCGAGATTCCTGATTTTTTTTATTTCCGCTCTCCGATATTAAACGTTCAAACTTACCATGCCTTCACCCTGATGAGTACCTCGCCCTCATTGAGCGTAGGCTCCGGCTTCTTGAGGATTTTGACGCTCTTCAGGCCCCCGAAACCGGTGAGGACGACGGCACGCATTTCTTTCGGAGGTGCTTCTTTTTCTTTTGTTTCGACCGCTTCGTTTGCCGGCGTAGCATCTCCGGTGCCGTTTTCTTTCACCTCTTCGGCCTTCGCAGCGGGTTTCTGCTCTTCGACGTTGTTCTCTTTATTCTCTGTTTGTTCGGACATTTTCACTGAGTGCAGCGCGTTGATTATAATTACGATCTGATCTAGCCGGCTCTTCGGCGAACAATGGCGCGAGTAACAGGTGTTCGCTGTTGGCTAGGGCGCGCCGCGGGCACTGACGCGCACGCGCATTCGGCGCAACAAAAACAAAAACTACCCCGTGTAGACGCGGTTGCGCCGGAAACCGCCGATGTTCAAAGCCGGTAGGAAGTCATAGCTGGCGGTGACGTTGGGTAAAGAGGGTCAAGAAGGCCTTATAAAAAAGCTCTACAGTGGCAGGTTCGGGCTCTTATAAGTTCAATTAGCTTTTATTCGCAAGGATAGCTCTAGCATAAAGCAGTGGGCTCGTGACGGATATTCCTTGGCAGAATGCTAGTGCTAAAAAATTATGTGATTATGGATATATCAAACTTTTAGGTCGTGCCTACAATAATTGTAGGATGGCTCTAGGGCCTCCTTGATTTTGATAGTTTTCTATTGTTCCCTGTCAATTTATTAAAAAGGAAACAACTAGGAGAGCGCTGACGCTGATACGGCAGAGTAGAAATCTAGAAATACCCCAGCCTTTCTGAAGGAGAGGAAAGGCTATGAAAATCAAGGAGGCCTTAAAGGCGTCTTCAATTGAGCAATGACTGACGATACGGCCCTTAGACTCAGCAGAACCTGAGTTTGCATTTTTTGGAAATGTAGATGACGATCCAAGGAGAGAGCAGCTGAATTCGAATTTTCACCGCGTTCGATTCCAATAAAAATATTCTAGTAAAACTTGTTCATTGTTATACAGAGGAGTTTCTAATAAATTTGTTATTTACGGGAATAAACATGTTTAGCATACCTATCAAAATTCTATAATTTCTTTGTGTTGATTTTTCAGTACTAACTGTCCTAAAAAGACGTCAAAATGACAAACCTTTTAAAGGACCCCTTATTGGCGTCATAAGAATGGCGTCAATAAAGACGTCATTTTTGAGTCAATGACTTTTCCGACCACTGGCGGATTTAGAGGGGGGGGCGCGCGATCTCATGTTCGTTTTCGCAATCAAAGACATTGTTTTGTGTGGAATGGAACGGGATATGTCTCGGGGTCCCTCAGAATGTTTTATTTATTTTTTTGTCGGTTAACAGAACAATGAAGTTTTTTATGTTTGAATCTTTAATATTATTATACTATTTATCTATAAATGCCACGTACTTATTTTGTTCTCATATAATAAAATATTGGCTTTCTGAGGATTTCTGAGCAATTTCCATGTTTTTTATTCAAGCTGGCCTTGATCAGATAGAACGCAATGGATTTAAGGAGCAATAATAGGATAAAATCTAGAAGTTCCACTGAGGTTAAAAAATGACCAGCCCCAAAAATCGTTTGCGGTATCACTTGAAAATGAATGACCCTCTCCGCTCAGAAAAACTCCTGCGGGCGCACTTGGCCGTTGCTATGACTAATCTCGCGTGGATGACAATCAATGACAGTACGGCATCGACTACCGACTGCGAAACATACTCATCGGCTGGACCGCAAAACGCACCTATATCCATCACAGACGCGACTGTTGAAAATATTTCTCCGGGATTCTCTATTTAGAGTAAATCTATCAGGTTTCAAAATATACATCTGTCGAATAAGTGCGGAGAATTACCGGAGTAGGAAACGTATAAACATACCAACGTCAAAAAAATTGAGATATTCCCTCTCGCTCCCACTACAACTCTCACCTTTTAACCCTAAAGATTCTAAGTGTTCTTCATTTCCTTCGTTTCTTCCCTTTGGCTGCGCCGTCATTGCACCGATTTTCTAAAGGATTCTATGGGCCTATTTGACTGACTTGACTTTTCCTCCAAATCACAGATACGCAAAAATTTTCTCATTGGAAAGTTCATTATTTCAGGATGTAAGGCCAGGGCACACAGGAAGCTCGGGGCCTACGGCTGGAGCGGCCCCAGGTCAGGGGGATATCCGGGACCTTACTTTGGCGTTGGAAAAAATTGATGAGCGGCAGGGGTATTGGGTAAAAAACTCGAAAGAACACAAAATGTCAACTTGCAGGCTAGATAGTTTTTCGTATGCAAATAGTTCATTTCACGTTTGCCGCTATGATCGTTATCAAAAGCCAATCTGTGGAGGAATGACTCAACGACACGACACGCCCAAGCATGCATTGTTGGTTGCAGAAAGGCAAGTAGTGTTTATCTCTGAGATGTCTGTAGAAAGAAAGTTAGTTGGGTAGCAAGATCACATCTGGATAGTTGTTAGCTGTGCCCGACGGGTTATTCATATGTTGTCGTTTCTGAAGACAGGTTATGTTCAAAGTTATAGATTGCGATTTTTTCTCGTTTTCTGGTTTTCAAAAACTATGGTTAGAATTACAGGAAATCACCACCGCGCCCGCATTGTGTGCTATTACTGTTAGTGTACAGTGAATATATTTGCATTATGCGGAAGTATGTAAGTATAAAATATAAGATTCCACATAAAGTTAATTACTTCACCGACTAGAAATTTTCTTAAATCTTTCATTTTTGAAATTCAGCAAATAAGCATGTAATTGACATAATGAATAAGAAAGAGTGGATGCGCAAGCGCAACTAATTTCTATTTGAATACATCTCAAGTAAGTGTATTTGAGACAAGAAACGAATGGAATTATACTAAGTGACATATAAATCCGAACACCCAGTTTAAATGGTTTTATTTTAATAAAAGTTGGTGAATGTATTTATCTTACTGTAAATAACAAGTGAAAAAATTTTCAGCCTTATCAGTTGGACATTCCGGTTTTTATACTGCTTTTTTTTAATTCACTAACTCTAAAAATGAATATTTCAGCCGCAGTAAAGAATCAACGTTGGCGGATTTTGGTGAATGGTTTGCAGAACACGGAAGACCTATTGGCATGCGAAGTGCTTACCGACGAATGAGAAGTTTTGGCTTGTTTTCATACCGGCCACACTGGGTCCTCCCTTTAACTCGAGAACACCGACGTAATCGCCTTGAGTGGTGCAGACAACGGTCACTCTGGGATCAGGAATGGAGCAGTATTGTCTTTAGTGACGAGTCTCGATTTTGTTTAGGCATGCACGATGGTCGTGCCAGGGTTAGAAGGCGACGTGGTGAGAGGAGGAATCCACAGTTTTTTGTTGAAAGACATGTTCATCACACTGTTGGAGTTATGGTTTGGGGTGCTATAGCTTATGGTTCCAGGTCACCTTTAATCTTCATCAGAGGTAACATGAACGCGCAGCGTTATATCCACGAAGTTCTAGAGCCCCATCTTTTACCCTATCTTGACACCCTGGCAGATCCAACTTTCCAACAAGATAATGCCCGACCACATGTTGCAAGAGTCACAATAGACTTCTTTCAACATAATGATGTTATATTGTTACCATGGCCACCAAGATCTCCCGACTTATCCCCAATTGAGCACGTGTGGGATATGATGGGTAGGAGATTGCTCAATTTGCAACGTCCTCCTCAGACTCTAGAAGCACTTCGAGAGGAGTTGGTGGTTGCCTGGAATGAGATACTACAGGAGGACATTGACCACCTGATCAGAAGCATGCCTAGGCGCGTTGGAGAATGCGTAGCACATCAGGGTGCATCCACACATTATTAAAGGTCGAAGGGCTTTAAAGCAGTGCAATCATTTTGAAATTTTTATCATTTACTTATTATGCTTCATTAAGTACTTACATATACAAAATTTTATTAAAATAAAACCATTTAAACTGGGTGTTCGGATTTATATGTCACTTAGTATATCATCAACACAGATTATTAATACACAAATCCTCACTATGCACTGCCGTTTCCGTTTCCTTCCAGATATAGTATACAACTTATTACAGCTTATACCTCCAATAATGCAGATATTACCTACTTCATAGCCAAACATTGATAGCTGAAGCATAATGACTATTAGGCAACACGTACAGGTACGAAACGAGTTCACAACAAGTGAACAGCAGCTAGTGCTAAGTTGACATTTTGTAGGAGAACCTACGTTATGTCACAAAAAACCTAAAAAATGTCAAAAAAAATACGTCAAAACGTCACTTTCCAGTATACGTAATACCCGTGCGGGAGGCATACTCAGACATTTTTTCTCAAATTTCGTTTGATTTTTGAGGGTTTGGGGGCCCCATCAAGCCATAGAGTAAAAACGGCTGGGGTAATTTGGGGCGCTGAATTAATATGACCGTAAACAAAAAATACCAGTAGAAAATCCACTTGTCAAACTCCTATTTATTTATTTCACTTTTTTTTACTATTCTGTATCTAGGTCCTGGCCAGTCCAAGCCTAATCATACCCTCATTCTGTGTAAATGAAACAACATGATGTGTTTGTACTTTTTATTATTTAAGCCAAAGAACATATATCACATCTATGGCTCAATTGTAAAAAACATACCAAAGGCCATCAGTTTGAATAATATGTAAGTATTACATCCACGAGCCTTAAGTACAACGTTTATTTTATTCACAATTGGTATCAAAAATCACATTTGTGATTTATTTGATAGCCTAAATATCATATTTCCAATCGTAAATAAAATACAGTGTGTCTGAATCTCAAAATATAGAAAACATTTTTTAAACCTGACTCGTTATATTATTGCATCGACTTGCTAAGGATTTTTGTTAATAAGCGTGTAGTCAGAAATGTAAGAAAATAAAGGATTGTAAAAATTGGTTTAAGTTTTTTCCACACTTAACTGAAACACTCCCAATTCCTTTTGATACTTACAGCTTTGATATACATTTTGAGCTCGTTTACATAAGAAATTAACAATCAGCATTTTGGTGTTTGTACACAAAATATTTCTTTATCTTCTATACCTGTGTTTTCGTAAAATGCGGAATAAAATGTGATAATAAAAACGTTTATCTACAACTTTGTACTAGAACAGTCTACAAAAAACTTCAAACGTTCAACAATAAAATATATGTGCATAGAATAAATAAAATAAGTTCAACAACATAAAATACCACGGGCGATGCGCTTAAGAAAAGTTTAATACATTGCGACTTTCGCAAACAAAAAGGCAAGATAAAAATGTGCTTACAAGGTTAACTGCTCTCGTTTTTTCAGAATATTTTTAATAGAATGGAATGCATATTTTTACCTTCGACTACCATTCCGTCAAAATGTCCATTTTTTGTTTTTCATGATCCCCAAACGTCATTTCGAATAATTCACGCTGAAAAGCCGAGTAAAAATAGCGAAGATAATTTTGAAACCAGAAAAGATTTTTATACTGACGATTTTTTTCAAACTGCCATGTGCTCCAAGGTAAAAGCATTGATTAACGTAGATAGCCGACCTAATGCTATATTTCCGCGTCTAACAGATTATCCGATATAAAAAGAGATATCGTAGCGTCATTTTCTCTATTTGCTATATAAGAGCGAGTTCCAATAAGCGCTTAGCCTTACCTCCCAATGGGACACACCTCCAGAAAAGGAGACTATATTGAGAAATAAATCGCCACATTTACAAAATTTTCCTTTTTATCTTGTAGGCTGAGTACTTATTGGACCGCCCTCGTATACTTTGAAAAGGTTAGTGTCTCTAAGCATATACAAGCAACGATTTAAAGTATACCTATACAAAAGTTGCAAGATGATGACGACCTTGACAATGACCTTCACTACGACGTTCAAGGTCATTTCAATGTCAAACAAATATTTTCAAATAAAATACCTCCATTTCCACATGGGAATTGAAAAGAGGAAATCTTACGTTCAAATATGATTTTGGCCATGGCCTTCAAGGTCAAATCAAAACATCGAAAACAAGTTGCTCTAATAAAAATGTTTCACAGCACAGTTGTGAGTTTTGTGGGGTTCACACAAAGGTGGCCTTGATAATAACCTTGACAAGGGACTTCAAGGTCAAGTTCAAATTTCCAAAGGAAACCCCTAATATTTATATGTAGTGGAAATAGAAAAAGCAGGAAATTGACGAAATACTTTCTGCTTTTTCCATTTCCGGTGTAAAAATGAAAGGTTTTCTTTGGAAATTTTGGCTTGACCCTGAAGTTCGAGGTCATAATCAAGGTTGCATTTGGGTCATGATCGAGGGTGGCATTTTAACCGCCCCATATTAATATTTCTAAACATAGGAAAACACAAAAGTTGTAAGATTTCGAGATGGCAAAGTAATGGTGACCTTGACTACAACATTCAAGGTCAATTAAATATTTTCTAATAAAACACCACTATTTTCGCGTAGGAATTGAAAAGCATAGGAAATCTTACGACCATGGCTTTGAGTATGGCCTTCAAGGTCAAATCAAGGCATCGAAAACGACTATTAAAAATGTTTGTCAGCACAATTGTGAGTTTTCGGGAAATCGCCTATCGCCTATTTGAACAGGTAACTTAGATGGGAGCATCGCTGGGAGTAGTGTTACAAGGAGACTATTTGAAAAATAAAAAAAAAATCAGAAAAAATGTCTTGTATCATGGATAAGGCTAGAGTAACTCGTTTTATCTCGCATATTTTTTTTTTTTGACGTGATATAGCATTAGGTTGGTCATCTTAATATGGTGATCAATAGTAAAAGTTAAGAAAATGCCAAAAGTAAGTATTTCTTCTACCATATAGTAACAATATGGTGGTTATCCTTATCTGACGATCATACTGTAAACTGCGCTTATATGATAAAAATTAGAAAATAAGTTTTCCTACTGAAACTTAATACTGTTATTGTATCAATTAAAAATACTAAACTTGCAAAAAATCGGAAACATCGAAACTATGACGAAAAGTTCTCAAATCTAAAAAGTTTTTGCATCTAACCGTGAACGACTATAATTCCGTCAAATTGATCTGTTGATCTTTAAATTACGTTTGAGACTATTAACCTTGAATCAGTATTTAGAAATCAAATACTATCTAGTTTTGAAATAACTTTCTAATGAATGTGTGCTAAATAAATAAAACCTAACTATTTCTGTCGCTTTCAGGTTCATCCTGCTCCTGTTCCGGAGCGATTATTATCCGTGTTGTGTCAGGGTTTGTACTATCTGTGTACTCGCATGCATCTATAACCATCTGATTGAAGGATTCAGGTTTGTCTGCGTAGATGTGGTGACCCGCGCCTGAAATAACCTACAAAAACAGAAAACGAATTATACCCTATTTCACGAGTATCCGTCAGACTTGGACGTCTACTGAGGAAAACAGCTGATCAGCAAGTGACATTTTTGTGTTATAGTTTAATCATATCTGACGAAAATATCTCTGATTTGCGAAATAATTGTAAAGTCTGGTTTTATTGCTCAAGGGGGTATTCAAAACATAGACGCATAAAATGGGTAGGTACACCAATTTTTGTGGGAAAACGTTTTCGAACGAAAAAACTCTTCATTCTCATTTATGAGACGTGTACATTTTTTGTGCCCACCTGCAGTTTGAAATATGAATTCGTCCTTTTTTCCTTGATAATATCGCCTGCGGAATGGTCCACCCAAGACCTGGCACCATATAACAAAGTTATAGGCATGTTTGGGTCCAGCTTGTCAATTCGTTTCACTATTGGAACTTTCGCCCAACCGAAGTCGGACATCATCGCGTGAAAGGCACTTTCTCCACTGAAAAAAAAAATGCCGTGTCAAGTTGACTCTGGACCTGCCACGCAACACTGTTATCATAAAGGATTATTTTATAAGGAAAAAAGCTAGTTACAAATATGTATAAAAAATAAATGGATCCTAGTACAATTAGAAATGAGTGACATGGTTTTTCATTATTTATACATAAAGTAACATACCAAAAACATAACGTCTCAATTTAAAAGTAAAACCAAAATGATTTCAGTTTCATAAAAGTGTTAAAGTCCACGGGGTCGATTTCATAAAAAAAATAATTTCCTGTCACTAATCACATACCTGGGTTGTTGTGAATTACACTGGTAAATATACTCAGGAATAAGGTTTGGATCCTCCAACGCCATTTGATATTTCTTGGAAATATCTGGTCTTACAAAGTTGATGAACCACGGCCCTTTAACAATGTTAAATGTCAAAATTAAATTCCACATAGAAACCGCGGTTCTATAATAATTTACAATACCAAAAATACATGGAGTCCTCAAAGTTGGGACTTTACACGCCGTGAAAAAATGAGCAGTTTTTTTCTTGTAACATATACACCAAGTATTAAGATTACCGAGATGTAAACAAAACCTTTACATATTGGTTCTAAAAAAAATAAATGGCATGAGTGTCTTTGAAATGCTACCGAGGTTTCACGAGTGCATGAAGATCGTTTCTAAAGATCCTGCTTTTTTTTTGTTTGGAGCGAAATGAAATGTTTCGTGTATAAAACTAAAGTGAACACGATTAACGAACTACGTGTGCAAATTTAGCAATCTAGCAATCCATTCCAAAAGCCGCATTCAACGGATTGACAAATGTTTTAATATCTTCATTCATTCAATTTGAATTCATAAATAAAGTTCAATACAAAGTTAAAGTTCTTACCAAAAGGCCCAGCCACCCTGATTCCCGCTAAAGGATTAAAAGTCTTCAAGACATACGCAACGCCTTTAATCCACAACGGAACCTCTTTGTGCTCTGCAGGTTTTTCCGGAAAACCCCAAGGATCTGCTAGAATCAAGTGACGCACTCTCTCTGGATGCTTAATCGCATATGAAGCTGCCAAAAATCCACCCAGACTATGCCCCAATAAAATGAAATCTTTCAGTTTCATCTCCTTCCGCCATTCTTCAATAGAACGGACCAGCTGTCTTTCTGCTTCAAATGCATCAGTGCTGAAGTCTGGACGAGAGGATCTACCAAATCCTGAAGAACCAAATACGATATGGAATTTTTTTATATTCAACCACTGCAATTCTTGCAACCTGGATTTTATTTTGGTGTACTTATTTTTATTCAATATTATTTTGAAAATACAGCTTCATTGGCAGTGAACAAGATAGTTAAACAATATAGTAAATACGGTAGAATAATTGTATTAAAAGCTATTTGTATTATGTACTAAGACTATGAGAAGCCCTATAAAAGTAGCAATTTTTGAAACAATGTATTCATAGTGATCCTCAAACTTTATTTTCCTATCAATATACAGTAGCAGACAAACGTTTTGAAACAAATATTAACATTATTATGAACTATTTCATATACCTAAATTAAAATTGTGAAGGAACGATAATATAAATATTAAAGTGTATACCTTTGTCTCCCGTACTAATATAAGGTTTATCTTATCAATATTCAAATTCTCTGAAAATAAAAGCACGCGTTTTTTAAATACCACTGTTTCGCCGTATTTATTCGTTCTGCGATACTGATATTGCGTGCGATAAACAATAACATCAGTGAGAATGGCAAAAGTAAAACGGTTTTCAAAAGATTTAAGAGATAAAGTAATTGAATTATTTAGAAGTGGTGTCAGAAATGTAGACATTTCTCAAAGATTAAAAATGAACAAAGGGACGATTTCGAAAATTATTAATAAATATCAAGAATACGGATCAATAGCAGCGCGGCCCAGGTGCGATCCTCGAATGCCAGTCATACAGATTTTCAAAAGAAGAGCGTGCCGAGACTCTTTCTTTGGTAGTCGTGCAGTGCAAAAGCCTCTCATTAAAAAAAACGTATTTCTCGGCTTGAATTTGTTAAAACTCATCTAACTTGGACAGAACAACAATGGAATACAGTAAAAAAGTATCAATTGCCAACAGTTAAGCACGGTCGAGGCAACATCACGGTTTGGGGATGTTTTTCTAGTTCTGGAACGGGTCAAATTGTTAAAATTGTTGGAAAAATGGATCAAGAACTTTACAAAGAAATTCTTAGGGAACACATGCTTCCTTTTGCTGAAGAAGAAACGCCTTTACGATGGACATTCCAGCAAGATAAAGACGCCAAGCATACCTCAAAATTCATAAAGGACTGGTTAAGATCAAAAAATGTTAATGTCCTTACATGGCCTTCGCAATCCCCGGACCTAAACCATATGTTAAAGGACAACTGACAAGAAAAACTTTTCAAAATAGGTACGATCTATTTGATGATGTAAAAAATATCTGGCAGAATATCCCAACAGACGTCTGTAAAAAATTGGTGTCTTTTATAAGCAGCAGATGTCAGGCAGTGTTGAATGCTGAAGGTACCAAATATTAGCTAAACAGTATTTTTTAAATCTTTTTGTAGAGATATTGTATTTAATTATGTAATAAAAAATATGTTTCCATACTTTGTCATCTCATTTTCGGTCATAAAATAATATGAAGGTATTTTGATGCTACTCTGTAGTACCACAACAAACACAAATTGTCATTTGTATCCTCAAGACTGTAAGCAGAGTATATGAGAAAAAAAAATAGTCGTTAATTATAAAGAATAAAAAATTAGCGCACTTTTAAAAAATTACAAAGAATGTTTACAAACTTTTGTCCACTACTGTATATACTTAAATATTTAATTGATTCAACATTTTCAATTATTTCACCATTTACCCTAACTGTGATAGTATTTTCATATAGGTATTTCCCATTAGCATATATTTTGTTTTAAAAGCATTCAATTTACATTATTTACATTTAACTAAGTCAGAATTTAGCGTTTTTAAAACAATGTTAACATTTTCATCTGATATGTACATTAATGTAACATCTGCAAATATCTGAATTTTACAATAAGCTTAGTCATCACAAATATCATTAATGTATAGAATAAATAGTAGTGGACCTAGTTGATTACCTTGTGGTACACCAACAGAAATATTTTTTGAGCTTGCTAATGTAGATCCAATTTTCGTTTTTGACTTCTGTCAATTAAGTAGTTTGTTTTATTTTTAAAAAATTGCGAGTATTTGCAGGTAATTGTGGCATTAGACAATTTCAGGACATTTTACTTCTTGAATAATTTTCAAAGAATGACACAAGCTCAACATAATAAAAATAATAATACTCTTTATTGCCAGCAGATTTTTAAAAGAAAAACATAGCAACATCAAAGAAAAGCAAAAATGTAGTCCAATACCATAATGAGAAATATAAACAACACGCAGGTACCATTAGCAGGTAACTTAAAAAATGTCACAAATGCATATATACTAAGTGACATATAAATCCGAACACCCAGTTTATATGGTTTTATTTTAATAAAAGTTGGTGAATGTATTTATCTTACTGTAAATAACAAGTGAAAAAATTTTCAGCCTATCAGTTGGACATTCCGGTTTTTATACTGCTTTTTTTTAATTCACTAACGCTCTAAAAATGAATATTTCAGCCGCAGTAAAGAATCAACGTTGGCGGATTTTGATTCTTGACATCCTTTACGATCGGTTACGATGCCTAGAGTACGGAGACCTGTACGATTTCGTCAACTTAGTTGAGTTTGATAGGGGCCGTATAGTGGGACTTCGGGAAGCTGGACTTTCTTTTCGGGCAATTGCAGTTAGAGTGCAGAGAAGTGTAGACACTGTGGTTAGGTGTTGTGAGGCATGGCTTCGAGAAGGCCGTACGCAAAGAGCAAGGGGCACTGGACGCCGCCGTAGAACAACAGACCGTGAAGTTTGCCGCCTAAGATTATTGGCCTTAAGGGACCGTTTCTCCACTACCAGGTCCATTGCAAATGAATGGTTTGCAGAACACGGAAGACCTATTGGCATGCAAAGTGTTTACCGATGAATGAGAAGTTTGCCCAATTGAGCACGTGTGGGATATGATGGGTAGGAGATTGCTCAATTTGCAACGTCCTCCTCAGACTCTAGAAGTACTTCGAGAGGAGTTGGTGGTTGCCTGGAATGAGATACCACAGGAGGACATTGACCACCTGATCAGAAGCATGCGCGTTGGAGAATGCGTAGCACATCAGGATGCATCCACACATTATTAAAGGTCAAAGGGCTTTAAAGCAGTGCAATCATTTTGAAATTTTTATCATTTACTTATTATGCTTCATTAAGTACTTATACAAAATTTTATCAAAATAAAACCATTTAAACTGGGTGTTCAGATTTATATGTCACTTAGTATATAAAAAAATAAATAAAAAATACAAATGTAAGATGATGTGTTACAAATAAATTATCAAAAATTGTACAAGGGTAAGTGGCCAAAATTAAACTTTATTAATGCAGGTAGATTGTTCACAAGCGTTATTATGATTATTATGTTGCCATGTTGTCACTAATAAGTCTAAAATATACACTAAACAATTTGCAATATAAAAATATAGGCTTGGATCTTACCCTATTCAAATTTGTTGGGCATGTATGGCTTTATCGGTCAAATTACTCCAAAACTGGCACACTTAATAATTGCAAGTTCACACTAGAATTTAGAGTAATCGCTTAAAATAACTTACCTAACAAATCAATGGCATAGACAGGTCGCACGCTGGCTAGGGCATCCAAATTAAGACACCACAAAGCAACGCCTGCTCCGAGTCCGTGGAGCAGCACTAGTGGCGTCTTGGGCGACTCTGTGTTCAAAGAAATTGTCCATATTTTATCGGAATTGCCCACTACTGGTCCTATATCGACAAAAAATCCCCTGTGTGCTGCCTTCACAACTGAAAGCGGAATTTGATGGTTATTGGGCTGTTATGTAAACTTAACCAATATACAAACTTGATAGGATCTTCTTTTCCAGAGTTCTTAACATTCCTTCTGAGAACCTATTCCAGGCGAGCCATTTTGGGGCCAACCAACTGCAACAAACAGGACTTGTTTTTATGACAGGCGAAAAGTGAGGTTATATCTGTCAGATTGTGGATTCAAACCAGTTTCTCACCTGAATTTAAAGCACAAATACAAAAAAGAGGAATATGCGGTAGAAAAGACATCTAAAAATTTTAGCAAAGTACACTGCACAGCTCTGTGAACATAGGTTTGCATTTTACATGAATTTCGGCAACATAAACAATGATTGGAATGAAAGAACATGAACTTTAAGAAATGATCAAAAATTCAATAAAGCATGAAACATGCGACTCGAATTTCAATTTACCTTGATTTAGCTTTGTCTTCCGGTAGATCGACACGCTCCAAATTGCGACCTTCGGATCGTTTATCGAGCATTCCGATGCACTTTTGCGTAATACGTATCTGAAATTCGTCCGAAATTAAACAACACGCAGAATAATTCCAATTAACAGCAGGCCCTGAATCATACTATTTAAATAGATATAAAACTGCTTCTCATCTGGGATCTCACGAGTCATTGTAATTGATTTTTGCGATTAGATTACAAAATTATATTATAATTAACTTTAAATATACATGCATAAATCAGCTGGTGCGCTTACGCATAAGCAATAATTAGGGTAATTTTAGATCTGTGTGTTTAAACACGGTGGGTATGATTCAACTATTTTTGGCCTAAGTGGATTCAAGGCAAAATTCGATTTATGATTTTGTGCTGATTACACATTCGCCCGAATTGCTTGAAAAATAATGCATGAATAGGAGCCAAATGTTATTTTTCGCAAGGAAAAATTTGGCAGACAAATAAACGTGGTATCGGAGAAATATCAAACCGCAATTTTTGTATACCGCATGCCTTGTTGGTTCGTTTTCTCTACCTTGTAGCCTCTAGATCCGCCTGATCTAAATAATTAACCGTTTTCCAAACTTCATCCTTGTTCTCCTTGAATTTGTCAGGCATGACGCATTTTCTTACGTCTCGTTCACTTTCAATGGTTTGCAGTGTATATATTGGATATATCAAAGGCGGCGCAACAGGGAACACTATACAGGGTGGCCAACGAAAACGTCGCATCCCCATGTGTGACTCTCCTGGTATATTTTGGGGAAAACGCTCGCACTCGTCAATTTTGATTTCTAGCGGGACGTCTTTTCATCTATAGTTTATAATAAAATTCGACTAAATACTGACAATAATGGAATGCACGTCAAAAAATAATAATCGTGGATACCAGCAATAACATTTAGCATCAGTCAGTGTTATCGTATGTCATAGGAAAACTTTGTCTTGTTAAGTTACCTACCTAGTTGTGATCAATACATTGAACAATGACTCATTCAGTTCAAGAAAGGGTAGAAAGAACAAATTTGTATTACCAAAATAGGAGCATTGCAAGAGCTAGTACCCGGTTGTTTAGTACGTTATATCCAGACAAAAATTTTAACGGTAAGTATGAGGCTAAGTTTTAAAAAAAAATTGAAGAAACGATCTGTGTCTAATAATCGCCATCGAGAAAATCGATCAGTTAGAAATGAAGCTGCAGAAATAGCAGTTATGGGACACGTAGCACTTGACAACAGCCTAAGCACTCGTGGACTGGCTACTTCTTCAGGATTTACACGCTCAACAGTACAAAAGAATTTTGAAAGACAATAAATTTCACCCCTATACTACAACTATTTAAAACTGTAATGACTCATACGCGTGATCAACACGTGATTAGAGCTCGATCCCGGCTTCCTTCCAGTACAGCCGTATAGCGTACGACATATGTCGTTTCTGTGGCTTTGCGGTGGTCAACAGCACAGACAGAGATGGAAATAATGGTTGATTGTTCTCCGCCGGTAGAACCAATGAAATCAAAGACGCGCCTCGACCGGCAGACTCATAGGCGTCGGCAACGCATTGGAACGTGTTTCGTTGAGCGATCGCATATTGTGTTTTTATAAGAATTGTGTGATTGTTATTGTTGTGGTTTCTGTGGTTACTGTTTTGGTTATACTTAACTATGGAGAGTACAAATGGCACGAGTGGAAGTACTGAAAGCCAGGGAACAAGTAGACGGCTTCGTAAAGCACTGAAGAGGGACGCGAAAGAAATCGTGCTCATCGTGTTCAATTATCTGAACAGAACTATGTCGCAGGGAGATGCACTCGCGCGTTGTGAAAGTATGACAGGCGTTCCAGAGTGGACCATTCGCAGGGTGGTGCATGAAAAGAAGAAAACTGGAGCTACTACTGATCCAAAGTTTAATTTGAAGGGACGAAAGGCCGTTAAATTGGATGACGATAGCAAAATGGCGTTAAGGCGAACCGTACATTCATTCTTCTTTAGGAATGAGATACCAACCCTCAAGGCTGTACATGCAGCGATCAAGGAAAATGAAACTATACCCCAAATGAGCGTCGAGGTAATGAGGAAATCCCTGCACGAAATTAATTTTCGTTACAAAACGCGTAATCGGAAGTCAGCATTGATAGAGAGACCTGAAATAGTCGCCTGGCGTCGAAAATACCTACGCGAAATGATTGAATATAGGCGACAAAGCAGAAAAATCTATTATTTGGACGAGACATGGGTAAATGCAGGTCACACAGTTAAAAAAACCTGGATAGACAAAAACGTAGTGAGTAACCGACAAGCAAGCATTGAAGGTTTGTCAACAGGTCTTCGTGGACCGTCAGGGAAAGGTCAAAGATTGATCGTAACACATATTGGTAGCGATAGTGGCTTTTTAGAAGAGTGTGGCTTGATTTTCGTCTCTAAGAAAGGAGGTGATTACCATGACGAAATGAATTCCAGCTGCTTCGAGAGCTGGTTTCAAGGGGTGCTTCAGCGAGTTGAGCCCAACTCTGTGATCGTCATGGATAATGCTTCCTACCATAGTCGTCGAGCCGAACGTGTACCGACTATGGGATCTCGAAAAAGTGACATGGAGCAATGGTTGCGCGAAAAAGGAATCCCGTTTGACGATTCATGTGTGAAAGCGGAATTGTATGAAAAAATTAAACAGCACAAACCTGCGAACATTAGTTACGTGACTGATGAGATGGCCCGTCAATGTGGTGTCACTGTGCTGCGGTTACCGCCCTACCACTGTGAACTGAACCCAATAGAGCTCATCTGGGCTCAAGTGAAGGGTTATATTGCGCGCCATAACACAACCTTCAAATTACCAGACGTTAAGGTTTTACTTGAGACTTCCATACAGCTAGTAACGCCCGAAGCTTGGCAGAATGCTATCCGTCATGTTGTGAAGGAAGAAACAAAAATGTGGCAGCTTGACCACCACATCGACACCATCATAGAGCCAGTTATAGACAATTTCAACGAGGAAAGCGATAGCGACAGTTTATTACTGTCAGATGTAAGTGGAAGCGACGATGAATAAAGGTAATTCCCAAATTTTTGAGTTACAATATGTTTCAAACCACTCTTTATTAAGCATGTGACAAATCTAGTTCACCCATGTTAAACATTCATACCCCGCCTATGAACAGCCGACTACTGGTAGTTAAGTGATGTTCACGTGAACATCGATGAGTCATTACAGTTTTAGATAGTTATAGTTTACCAGATAAAACTTGTCAATGAGCTTAATGAAGACGATTTTGATAGAAGGTTGCAGTTTTGCGATTTGATGTCCCAACGTTTAATCAACAATGCAAATTTGTTATTTAATATTTGTTTCTCGGATGCGTGAAAAGCTGTTGGTAGAACCATCGTAAATAAAAATGAGAGGAAAAATAGAAAAACTGTATTTCATGTCCATGGTAAAAAATTACAAAACAATACCGTACCAATAACAAAATACAAAGGAAATATATATGTAACAATATAGTTTTCAAGTTTTTCATAATATGATTTGCCCTTTCTGGCTACACTATACTTTGATTTTGCGCAATACCAATAGAGCAGTGGAGTTGCAGAGCAAATGATTCTTGTTGAAACTTGAATATGAACAAAAAGTAAACAAAAAACAGTAATGAATAACCCATGGATGACAAAGGCATTAAGTAATGGACAAAACAACTGCTCATTGTACAACCTAGATTTTTTCCTGAACAAGTAGTTCAGGCTAAATAAAGTATGCATACTTTTATATTTTTTTAAATTATACTCAATGTGCAGATAACAATTTCTTAACATAACATACAAAACAGGTGCTGCAAGGAAAAAATTTGGCACTTGCTTTATCTGATAATATTTGAGAAAACCAACCTCCCAATAATGGCTCTGTACATATGAATATGCTAAAGGTATCTTTTTGCCACACCAAGTCTGGTTATGAATTGAAAATTGTCCAGGAAGTACAAAATTGTTACTATGAGCATAATCTACAATTATCTGACTGTAAGAATGTTTAAAATCCTTACAAAACATATAATAACAATATGCCTGGTATGCTACAAATGGAACTATGAGTAAAACCGAAATTATTGTAGCAATACAAACATGTTTTACGAAGTAGAAGATCCTGTGAGTTGAATTAGATAATCCATCAATAAAAACGCATATATACATATATAGGAAATACCCAAGGTTCAGTACTCCGTTAGACCTTACTGCAGTACTAAGACTTATTGGAATGAGGTAGATAATATGCAACGTTTTAAACCTAGGTGATATTGTGTAATCTTCATATAAATAGATACAACCTAGTATCGACTGGAATGTCAAGTAACTGAACAGTGCCTCCGTGTAGGGAGCCACAAAAAAAACAGATGCAGGATTATAACAAAAAATATACCCCACTTTGAGAGCAATATCTCTGTCGAAGATTATGCAAGTAAGGTCATACAAACATAATACTGTTAGGACAAAAAGGGAGAAATTAATGAGAATAAAAATTAGAATCAGCAGCGAGTCTTCGTTCATGAATGTTATGAAACATGAGAGCAATTTACAAATAAAACTAACAAAGAGCGGATACAGAGGAAAAAATGCTAAACTATTCTCATAGGTGTATCCGTACTTTGCTATGTGCATAAAATATTGAGCGTCCCATCTAACTAATCCTCCGAAAAGGTGTTGAACGAGTCCGTCCACCGCGTTTTCCTTTGATTCGGATGGAAACAGGAAAACTTCGGCATCATGATCCGGCAGCAGCAAGTTTCCAAAATACTGAATTGCGATGAGAATCAGCCGGCTTTTGATCGCTGTTGTGATGAGTAATTTTCTAGGCTCCATTACTTCGATACTCTTTGCATCTGATGCCTTTCAATTTGAAAATTTTCTCATTTTTGGTGTTTTGTTTACATTTTTCAATAAGTTAGGTTAGAATCATAGAACACGAAATTATCATTGAAAAAGAAAACGCAGAAGGTCGGTGCTTAGGAACTATGAGAAGAGAAGTATCTATATTGAAGGGTCCGCTACAAGGGGCGATAAATATGTTCTGCAAGAATGATGGCTTGGAACTTCAAGCGAAGACTTAGGAACGGGTCTTCCAGTGTGTACCAAAATACGCCTTAAGCGGCCTACACACCTTGCTGTATGATGCGATACCTAAATCGACTCAACGTTTCATGCAACTTGCATCATTTGCATAAGCGCCTACTCGGATCAAAACCTGTTGCGATGCCCGAATCGAATCGATGTTTCATGCAACACAAAAACAGTAGGGTGAAGTTATTTTGAAAACTACCTAGGTTTCTTATGTTTCTGTCTCAATACTTTTATTCCAAAGATATGTATGTAGATGATAAATGTATATGGACTTTTCCCAAAACTGTCACGAGCAATGCGGTTTTCAAATTCGTGCGTCTTTCTCGTCCATCCTGTATAAATACAACGAATGTATCATACACATACCTATTGATTAATTTAGTTAGGTGTTTTTATACCATAATGACGGAAAAGGGCACAATAATACTACTTACTTTGCCATACAAAAAATACTTTATTTTTTCAATAAGTTCAAATAAATAAGTAAACTTGTAAACACTTTAACAAAACATTGTATATTTATAACCACCCGTATAGAAGTACAAAAGAACTAGATTAAGCGACAAACAACACTATCAGAAATCAGATGATATCAAACTATTATGCGCTATTTTGATAGAAAATGTATTAGTTGAATATTACATGATACTCCAATACCACCACTTTCATGTTAATAAGTTCATTTGGTAAAAATTGAACTGCTCTTTCTGATATTTAATGCAAAAGCACACCAACAAGCTGAAGAGCGACAGAACAAGACTTTGGTTAAATAAATTGCACTTCTCTGATTCTTTGGGACAAGTTGCAGACTCTGTAATCAGCCGGCTTTTGATCGCTGTTGTGATGAGTAATTTTCTAGGCTCCATTACTTCGATATTTTTTTATCTGATACCTTTCAATCTGAAAATTTTCTCTTTTTTGTTTTGTTTACATTTTTGAATAAGTTAGGTTACAATCACAGAACACGAAATTATCATTGAAAAAGAAAGCGCAGAAAGTCGGTGCCTGGGAACTGTGAGAAGAGAAGTATTTATATTGAAGCGTCTGCTACAATGGGCGACAAATATGTTCTGCATGAATGAATGCTTGCAACTTCAAGGGAAGACAGGAACGGATCTTCCAGTGTGCACCAAAATACGCCTTAAGCGGCCTACACACGTTGCTGTATGATGCGATGCCTAAATCGACTCAATGTTTCATGCAACTTGCATCATTTGCATAAGCGCCTACTCGGATCAAAACCTGTTGCGATGCCTGAATCGACTCGATGTTTCATGCAACACAAAAACAGTAGGGTGAAGTTATTTTGAAAACTACCTAGGTTTCTTATGTTTCTGTCTCAATACTTTTATTCCAAAGACATGTATGTAGATGATAAATGTTTATGGACTTTTCCCAAAACTGTCACAAGCAATGCGGTTTTCAAATCCGTGCGTCTTTCTCGTCCACCCTGTATAAATACAACAAATTTATCATACACATACCTATTGATTAATTTAGTTAGGTTTTTTTATACCATAATGATGGAAAAGGGCACACTAATACTACTTAACTTTGTCATACAAAAAATACTTTATTTTTTCAATAAGTTCAAATAAATAAGTAAACTTGTAAACACTTTAACAAAACATTGTATATTTATAACCACCCGTATAGAAGTAGAAAAGAACTAGATTAAGCGACAAATAACACTATCAGAAATCAGATGATATCAAACTATTATGCGCTATTTTGATAGAAAAATGCATTAGGTGAATCTTACATAATACTCCAATACCACCACTTTCATATCAATAAGTACATTTGGTAAAAATTGAACTGCTCTTTCTTATATTTAATGCAAAAGCACACCAACAAGCTGAAGAGCGATAGAACAAGACTTTGGTTAAATAAATTGCACTTCTCTGATTCTTCTTTGGGACAAGTTGCAGACTCTGTAAAGCCAGACAAGACTTGAGCGCCACTGAAAAGTATACTCCTTGATATATTAATGAAAAGTTTCTCAGCTTCTTTTCATTATATTCTATACACAATTATTGCTGAAATTTTTTTTTTAATTCAATACGAACGATTTTTCATTTCTCAATGATCTTGTGATTCCAAAACTAGGTTTCCTACATACGAGATCAGAGAATCTTTTCTGCACAAAGTTTCTAATCCAAACCTTTATTCTGGACGTTTTCCTGATATGAAAAGGCGCGTTTAGTGCGTGGTTTGGATTTGACTGACGTGACTGTGTTTTTGGTATCAGAAAAAAAGTACGTGTACAGCAAAAAATTGTAATTGTGCGGAGTATTGTTCACAATATAGCTGCTACTAGCTCTTGTGCCAGACAGCGGTATTCCCATTTGAGGATCTGGAAAAAGTATAGAGATAAGTTGTGGAAATGATCATCCAAATCTGAAAAGCCCTTTGCCAATTGTTAATGAAACAATTCGAGATAAAATGAAAATGGGACACATATAAAATTGTATGTACAGCAGACGCTCGATAACGTAAACACGAGATAATGAAAACTTGCGCTAATATAAACACAAACTTCGTTCTATAGGATCAAACGGAACGCGCGATAACGTAAACAATGTGTACGCTCGATAACGAAAACAACTCTCGGCGCACGGAAACAGCGCGACGGTAAAATGCTGAAGCCTCGATGATTTATGTCGGGCGTCGGGGAGTCCTCGGTTTATGATGTAGAGTGTAGGGGATTCACCTATGCGGTAAAATACGACAAACTCGGTCAGTCGTATGATCGTTTAGGATACGTTTATACGTACGTATGTATTTCATTTTTGAACTTAAGTGAATGCATTGCACGCGTTAATATATTTTACGACTATGGCATCCACATCCTATAAAAGAAAGTGTTTAAAGTTGAGTGAGAAAGTGAAAATCATAGACGAAGTTGCACAAGGTGCGGGAGTGACACAGTTAGCAAAAATATATGGAGTATCGAAAGCAACAATCTGTAAAATTAAGCATATGAAAACTCAAATTTTACAAAGAACGTGCAATACATTTGGAGATCCGGGAAAAAGAAAAACTTTAAAAAATGCGAAGGCACCTAAAATGGAAAATTCCCTGTATAAGTGGTTTTTAAAACAACGGGAAAATCATGTCCCAGTTAGTGGCGAAGTACTTAAACAGAGAGCGAGACTGTTAAATGAAAAACTGAAAGAAACTGAAAATTTCGTAGCTAGTGATGGCTGGTTACAACGATTCAAAACAAGATATGGAATTCGACTGCTGTCTATATCTGGTGAAAAATTATCAGCACAACCACAATTAGTGCAACCATTCAAAGAAAAATTAATGAAAACAATTAGATTTAAGAATGGAACAAATTTACAACGCAGATGAAAGTGGCCTTTACTGGAAAATGTTACCAGAGAAAACCTATGCTGCATCATTTGAAAAATCTGCCCCGGGAAGAAAGCCGGAGAAACAACGAATAACGTTTCTAACCTGCACTAATGCTAATGGTTCACACAAAATAAAGCCACTGGTAATTGGGAAAGCAAAAAATCCGCGCTCATTTAAAAATGTTAATATCCCTGTTGATTATGACTGTTCAAAAACCGCTTGGATGACTAGCAGTATATTCCTGAAATGGTTCCACAGGTGCTTTGTCCCTCAGGTATGACAATCAATTATCACAAATCTATTCATAATTTGAAAATGTGTTTTCAATTTGTAGGTAAAAGGTTTCCTAAAACAACAGAAGCTTCCAATAAAAGCGTTGTTACTATTGGATAATGCACCAGGTCATCCTCCCGAGCAACAACTGAGGAGCAGGGATGGGTCAATTTTCGTCATGTACATGCCGCCCAACGTAATACCGTTAATTCAACCGATGGACCAGAATATAATAAGACTCACCAAACTATACTATAGGAAGTTTCTACTTTCGTCTGTCTTATCAAAGAATCCTGTAAACTTATCTGAGGCTTTAAAAAAAGTAACATTACGAGAAGCTGTTTTAGATTTACATATGGCCTGGAATGAACTTAACCAGCAAACTATTCAAAAATGTTGGAACAATCTCTTTTGTACCAATAATGAAGATGATGAAGAAGACGATGCCCCCTTAAGCGTAATTAGAGAACGTTTGCGATCCAATAATGATAATGTTATTAGTGTGTCATTGGATGTTGTTGATTTATTGAAAACAGTGAATCCAAACATTGTTTATACTCCTGCTGATATTAATGTATGGAACGAAGATAAGCAGACGAATGATGCTGATAAGGAGGAGGATATGGACAGTGAGGATGATGAGAACGATCCCATTGAAGTCAGAAGTGTAGTGACTGACGCGCAAGCTATACAAGTTTTTAACCAAGCTTTAGATTGGGCTGAAAGAAAATATATTTTAGTTCTTCGTAAATTACGGGTGCAGGCATTGGAAGACAATGCTAAGCGCAAATTTACGCAGACAAAAATTGTTAATTATTTTTCTTCTAATTAAAAAAATACTTATCACTGTAGAATATTTGTTTATTTTGTTATAAATCGTATGTATTAAACGTTTCTTTTAATAAATCAAATATTATATAAATCACGTTCGCTAAAGTAAACATTTCGATAACGTGAACTACACTTGGATTAAATTAGTTTACATTATCGAGCATCTGCTGTATTTAGAAATACTATTATTTTTTTCGTATCTTAAATTTCGGAGGAAAAAGTCCACTTAATTGGATATCTCTGTACCACACGAGGAACATGGGGAAAAGATTCTTTTGGAAATTTTATTTTTTTATTACTAACTGTGTTAATGTTATTCAGTATTAGTTGTTGTTGTTACGTAATTAGTAATAACAGATTATAGAAAAATAATTTCTAAAAGAAACGTTTTCCCATATTCCTCGTCCAAGGATACACAATTAAGTGGACTTTTTTTTCTCAAAACCAAGCAAGATACGGAAAAAATCAAGCGACAAAAAAGTTGCATTTCTATTAGCTTAACCCAAAGAAAATAATGAAAATTGCGCAACAGCCAGAAGACAAAAATGGAAAATTCGCTGTAACTCACCAAGGTATTGCGAATACTTATTCCAGCTGTCTTCAGCGGGGAATATCCTGACGAACCCTCCTCGCCTTTGGTACTGTCCGACTGCCATTCGTACCACGCGGGATTCTTCAGCACTCAATTGCTGACCTTCTCCAGCTAAAGCAGCGGTACGACGAGGACCAGTACCAGATTCTGCCGAATGCACTCTGCGACACTAACATACAAAAACTGACAATAAAAATGCTTGTAATCTAAATTAAAAAAAACGTAGAAAGAACTAGTCATTGGTGAAATTGAAAGCCATTAAGTCCCGCACTCGTATTAGCTAACTTAAGGGGTGACATCATATCGATTTTTAATCACACGATTTACGTTGTTTTTTTTCCGAAATCTCACTCAATGTTCACTTGTAGTAGTTTTACGTGTTGCCTAAACATCATGACACCTATAGTTAAGTGGGGACCCCCAACCCGGACATAGGAGGTTTGGAGCCATAGAAATACAAAAAAGGAAGCACGACAAAATATATTTGGCGCAAAGATTATTGAAAATACAAGCAATAACTTTTAAGTCAACCGTATAGCGCAGGATATATTTTTAAATTTCAACGCCCATTTGTAACAGTTGTTTGTAAAGAATCGTTCAAGGAAGAACAATAAATTTACGATTTCAAAATATTGAATCATCCGATATGAAAAACTAGATAATGAAATATTTAAATGAAGTGCAACAGTCTCTTTGTATCAATTCGATATTTCTGTCGCCCGATAGAAGAGGAATGTACAGCTCCTGACTCTACCAATCACTACAAATAAGATGTATAGTGAAAGAAGAAAGCTGAAGAAAAATAAATTTTATTACGTTTTGTCTCTGGAAAAACTATGTGCCACAACGTGGTTCTATGATGAAATCAGAAAATACGATCAGAGCTTTTCGCCAGATGATAAACAAACTTCCGCATCAGATTTTTTTTAAAGATTCATTTAGCATTAGTGCTACAATGTCAATGTTGTATAATGATTTGGTTACATATTTTTCTTCAATCCATTTTCTGTAATTTCACATTCTTGCCCATTAAAATTACGTCACTATGTATTTTGAATATTCATAAAGTGATTTTTTAATTTCACCTTAAACATTTTTAAATTCTAACTCTGTTTAATATCATTATTCAATTTATTAAATTCAAATACTCCCTTTTGAAATATAGATTTACTAGTTATGCTACTATTACAATTTTGCAGATGGAAATCTATACTGGCTCTAGTTTCGTAGATATGATAATGACTAATTTAATAATATATATTTTTTTAAATTTAAATGATTTTTTAATTTGAATATCAATACTCAATAGGAGAACTAAATAATATATGAAATTTTTCACATACAACCACTGCAGTTCTTCTAACATACATATCCCTTAAAAAATCAAAAAACCAGTCAAGGCCAATAATCTTTCCGTCATAGCTCATTTATTTTTTTTTTGTTTACACATTGATATATTTAAAAAATAATGCAGCTGAATGATCTGTCTGCAATTGACAACAAATACGAAAATTTTTAGTATTAAATAAAAATATACTAAGTGACATATAAATCCGAACACCCCGTTTAAATGGTTTTATTTTAATAAAATTTTGTATATGTAAGTACTTAATGAAGCATAATAAGTAAATGATAAAAATTTCAAAATGATTGCACTGCTTTAAAGCCCTTGGACCTTTAATAATGTGTGGATGCACCCTGATGTGCTACGCATTCTCCAACGCGCCTAGGCATGCTTCTGATCAGGTGGTCAATGTCCTCCTGTGGTATCTCATTCCAGGCAACCACCAAATCATCTCGAAGTGCTTCTAGAGTCTGAGGGGGACGTTGCAAATTGAGCAATCTCCTACCCATCATATCCCACACGTGCTCAATTGGGGATAAGGCGGGAGATCTTGGTGGCCATGGTAACAATGTGACATCATTATGTTGAAAGAAGTCTATTGTGACTCTTGTCGGGCATTATCTTGTTGGAAAGTTGGATCTGCCAGGGTGTCAAGATAGGGTAAAAGATGGGGTTCTAGAACTTCGTGGAAATAACGCTGCGCGTTCATGTTACCTCTGATGAAGATTAAAGGTGACCAGGAACCATAAGCTATAGCACCCCAAACCATAACTCCAACAGTGTGATGAACATGTCTTTCAACAAAAAACTGTAGATTCCTCCTTTCACCACGTCGCCTTCTAACCCTGGCACGACCATCGTGCATGCCTAAACAAAATCGAGACTCGTCACTAAAGACAATACTGTTCCATTCCTGATTCCAGAGTGACCGTTGTCTGCACCACTCAAGGCGATTACGTCGGTGTTCTCGAGTTAAAGGGAGGGCCCAGTGTGGCCGGTATGAAAACAAGCCAAAACTTCTCATTCGTCGGTAAACACTTCGCATGCCAATAGGTCTTCCGTGTTCTGCAAACCATTCATTTGCAATGGACCTGGTACTGGAGAAACGGTCCCTTAAGGCCAATAATCTTAGGCGGCGATCTTCACGGTCTGTTGTTCTACGGCGGCGTCCAGTGCCCCTTGCTCTTTGCGTACGGCCTTCTCGAAGCCATGCCTGACAACACCTAACCACAGTGTCTACACTTCTTTGCACTCTAACTGCAACTGCCCGAAAAGAAAGTCCAGCTTCCCGAAGTCCCACTATACGGCCCCTATCAAACTCACTCAAGTTGACGAAATCGTACAGGTCTCCGTACTCTAGGCATCGTAACCGATCGTAAAGGATGTCAAGAACCAAAATCCGCCAACGTTGATTCTTTACTGCGGCTGAAATATTCATTTTTAGAGCGTTAGTGAATTAAAAAAAAGCAGTATAAAAACCGGAATGTCCAACTGACAAGGCTGAAAATTTTTTCACTTGTTATTTACAGTAAGATAAATACATTCACCAACTTTTATTAAAATAAAACCATTTAAACTGGGTGTTCGGATTTATATGTCACTTAGTATACATCAAAAATGTTTTTCAAGTTTCCTCGATATTTTTCATCATTGGCATTGGACCACTCATTATTAAACTCGCACAACTCGAATATTGGATTGTTTGATAAGATGCTAGGTTCCGACTCACGTTCTTGAATTTGACCCTGAGCCGGTTTTCTCCTTGGATCTGTCCGCCTGCCAAGCCTGCGTTGGGCGCCAAAGTGGGCTGCTTGATGACAGGATCGACCGCCGGGATTCCCACCAAGCTCAACATGTCTGCCAACATCGCAGATTTCAGGCGAACGTCCAGAGGACTGTCGCAGTTCAATGACGGAGATAGGTTCACTTCGAGCAGCCAAGGTTTCATGTTGGAATCGATCAGGATATCGAAGCCGTATAATTCTGGAAATTTCAGTTTAGATACCACAAATATTCGTCTTTTAATGATCCTTATGCATATGAATTTAGTCGGATTTTGGGTCCAAAGAAATACATATTGCTGTTACAAGCTCATTCATCCTGGGCACAAACGTAACCTTGTATGAAAATTTCACCAAAATCCGAGCGGAAATGAGTGACATGGTTTTTATTCCTCGCCAGTTTTGGTAGTGAAAGTAAAAATAATTGTAAAATACCGATGTCCTTCTTTAAAATATATCCGATATAAATAGATGAAAAATCGTGCAAAACGAACTCTCAATAATTGAACTCACCAAAACAGTTGCCGGTATGAGGTACAAACATTTTACAGGCTGTGATGATTGAATTCGCCGATGCTAATATTGCTTTAACGACTAGATCTTCTATTTGGGACATGAGCGATGTAGTGTCTCTTCCCTCCGCCTTCAGTTGCCTTAAGAGAGCACTCAAAGTCCACTTATGCCCGACATTTTCCGCCCATGGATCATCTGATCTGAATTTTGATAAAATACGAATAGAATTTATAAAGTTCATCCGACACGTAAATGACAACAACGGCTTGGTGCTGCCGGTCCAGTATCGTGTACGAGGGATGTCTTTTAAGTTTTGCATATGGAAATAAAACAACACGGTAGGTAGTTTTAAATGACTTTATTGTTTTTGCCGAAAACAGACAGCAACTCAGCAAGGCATTTTTGTTGCGATAATTGTCTCTGAAAGTGGTAATAAATTATGGCGCGAAAATGTTCTCGGTTGAGTTCCATTTTTCTAATGACTTGGTGACACTTAAAAATTCACTGTAGTGAGAACACTGCACATATTGTTGTGAAACTTTGAATTCAAGTTTACTAAAGAGTGAGGTTAAGATTCAGTACTGACGTTCGATCCGCGCGGCCTACTATGTTTCTATATGCAAAACTTAAAAGACGTAACTACCCTACTGCCTCAGAAGGAGGGTTATGTTTTTCGCACGTATGTACACTACCGTTCAAAAGTATTTGATCAACAAGGAAACTGATGGAAGTTATTAAAGAAAACATTACAATATCTGTATGAAACATTTATTTTCTTAATTTTGTTCAGAAAAAAATAAACGAAAACGCACTTGTTGAACAATCAAATGAGACAAGATAACTGAAGTAAAACTGTGTTAGGGGTTGACGTACAACATAAAATTAAAATAAATTATTGAAAAATAAATCCTGAGAAAGAATTCCTATACAAAAACATAACAATATTCTAAAGGCAAGGAAATTCCTATTATGGCCAATTGTTGAGATCCCAATGATAGTGTGAGCAAAATTTTTATGTAAGTGACCTTTCAGTGATACTTGATTTCCATGATGATAGTTTTCAATAAATAAAGAAAAATAAATACGTACTGAATAGTGTTTTTTGTTAAGATTTTAAATGGAAATATGCAGGTGTTCATATACCTTTGAACGGTAGTTTATATACAGGATGTCTGCGAAAGGTTGGTAAATCTCGAAATTGGAGATACTACAGACCAAAATATGTGAATTAACCGAAACATACCTTAGTACAAAAGTTAATATCCTTTAACTTCATTGCATTTGTATATGATAAAGCAACTATCTAGGAGTATTTTATTAAAAAAATGAACAAAGTATAACCTTATTTGTACATGCAGCTAAAGATCACAGATGAAAAGGTTCGTTTTTTAAAATTTCAGAAAAAATTCAATATCTCAAAAACGGTGACACTTTTATATAGGTAAGTTTTTGTTATTTGGTAGGTCAGTCCAAAGCCTTCCTTCTCCTTAAGTTTGTCGTGGTACTTATTGGACATCCGTATATTCCCTCATTCTAACCTATTGATAAAACCGAATAGCTAAGGCCCGTATCGTCAGTCGTCCCTACAATTGTAGGGCGCCTTTATGGCCTCCTTGATTGTCATAGTTTTCTATTTTTCCATGTCAGTGTTCTATTTTGAGGTTATGTCACAAACATCTATTAGCATCAAATTGTGCTTGCTTTTGAGTTATATCATGTTTTATCAGCCTGAAATTTCCTACAATTTAAAAGGAAAACATAACTTCACAATAGGAGAGCGCTGACGCTGACACGGGACAAGTGTAATCTAGAAATTTTTGAAGGAGAGAAAGGAGTATGACAATCAAGGAAACCATAAACGCGCCCTACAATTGCAGCGACGACTGACGATACGGGCCTAAAATAAAATGGACTCACTTGACATAATCACTATGGAACTTATTGATGCTATAGTTGCACAGATGCATGCACGGATCCCAAACTCTGTGCGGTCCTCGGTCATACTTGACAGTTGCGAATCGCACCAGGCCTTCTTCGTACACGTAGACTAATAGCGGATCGAAACTCGTGACCAGCACGTACAGTCTCACGTCGAATTTGTGACCGCCTGCCACTAGAAGTGGCTCGGAAATGTATTTCGCTACCACCACCGGCGCTTCCAAGGGGACTTGTTGCGGGGATTCGACGATGAAAATTCCTGCAAAAGGTCATAGGTCGCACGTAGTCCGCCATCGGTAACCGCCAATGATAAATCTCATGATAGTCAACCACGGACAGAGTGGTTTTTGTGGTATCATCTGTTCTTAGTATGATATGCGAATATTTAAGGGTGTACCTAGTAAGCAATAAATGCTATTATTATCTTACCTCTGCCTCGACTACTAGCGACTGGTTTGACAATCCACGGTCCTCTAGCTCTATGGTGCGCTTGACATAACTCCCTGTACTCTATGGGCATCACAAATGTTTGGGGTATGAAATCGAAATGCCTGAATCCTTTCAGATGTTGCATACGTTCAATGTTCTTGTATAATCGATCTTTCCTCGTCAGTTCGTAAGAACGTGGAAAATGGTTGACCCGTTGATGAGCTGATAAGGATCGCAGGACTCCTATGGACATATTGTATAACTTCAAGGTCAAGATAATTGGCAACCATGTCAAATACACTGACCATTGGTCAGACAAGCAATTTGAGGTTTGAAAAAATTTGTATTCCAAACAGACATTTCTGTTTTGTTACTTAACTCGTGTAATGCATACTTAGTTTTTATGTGCAGAAAAAAACATTTTTAAAAAAAGGTGTATGGAGATTAACTGACCTGGTTTTGGGTGGGAACCAGTCCAGAGTAAATTGAAGTCATTAGAAGTAGCTGCTGCTTCTGAAATTCCATGACAGTCTAGCAATTTTGCTAATAATTTCGTTTCTGCTTGAAAGGCCTGTAATACACAGTATGTTTCCGCTATTACCAAACATACAACGCACGTGTTAATTTAGTAATATGCACTTTGGTGGCATTTTATTGTCAGTGTCTAGCCAGTGTTGCCATTTATGCTCCCTATGACGCTTGGCTAGTACACAGGCTAAAAATACAGGATATGATTCCTTAACTCATTTTAGAAAGAAAAGTTTATTGAACATATGTCCTAAGCCTCATAACTTTAATACTGTTCTTTGATGTAGAATTATTTTTAATATTTCTACCAGTTACGCCATTGCTTTTTCCGAAAATAAAAATCATTTTATTACATATTTTGCAACAAGTTTGACCTCTTGGCTTTTTTGATCCGATGTACCGTTTTCGCGTAAAAAAGAAAATTTTAACACACTGTAACTCAAAAGTTAAGAGGTTTAGGACATAAGATCACAAACTTGTCTCCATAAAATGAGCTAAGGAATCATATTCTGTATTTTTTACACCCTGTATTAGTGCTAATATTGTGTTTATTGATTATCAATATACAAAATGTTTTGCAAACTGAGTTAAATATACCTAATGTATAATGCTGTTTTGTTAATGTTTTGATATAATCTACCTTATATGTTACATGGAGCTTATATCCAGGTTTTTCCTTGATAACAGCTTCGTTGTCAGCATCTGCTAAGGCCGAACTATGGAATAATAAAACAGAATTTCTGGATCCAAAAGAACCACCCCACAGCCATGCTGTACTAGCACTTCTGGACGGCTCACTCTGTATCACTTTGGTACTGAAAGATTATAAAGGGCTATCCTAAAATACATGGTCACTCTGAAGGGATAATTTACACCTAAACCTAAACCTAAAAATAGCTCAGATTACACAGGGTGTTTCCTTGTCAGTACGCCATAATTACAAGTGTGCATACCTGAAGCAAATTCATTTATAAACGTTCATACAGACATGTGCCAAAATAGTTTGATTCCCAAGATAAAGGATTTTAAAAAACTGTTTTTTTATCAATACTTATGAATTCCAGTGGCATCACTGAGTCAGTCTAACAAATATTGCCAAACAAAATTATGTTTTTTTCATATTAAGCAGCGAATGATCCAACTTTTTTGTATCTTGGCATCTCTTCATATCTTACTTACTTGAGGGAAAAATAGAAACAATTTACATGTTAAAACATTTTGTCTCTCTCGATGAGTAACATAACTGCATGAAGTGGTCATTTGGAACATGTTATGTAAATATTTCGTGAAGTTATTACTTTTCATTCCATAGATCTAAAGGCATAAAAATAATATTGTGAATCAGTAAAATTACATTCATTTTTTTATCAACTTTTCAACATGTTAGCAAGTTGTTTTTATTTTTTCTTCAAAAATGAAGTAAGGTAGGAGACACATTGTATAAAAAAATAAATCCCATGCATAAAAAAAGAGCCATAATAAACATATATTAATAACAAATAATTCATATAGTTATTTCCAAACAATTTACAGATATAACTTCTGGGTAAAGATTGTAGTCAGCATATTTTTAGTAACAGGAAATCAAATACCTAGCACATGAATGATAGGAATAAATAATACAAATGTGACTCACCTTAACTGAGAATCAGATTTTTTGTTCATCTCTGGTAATTGTTATTAATAGGTACATAAAACTTAAGAGAGGTAGTATCTTATCACTAGTGCTTTCAAGAGAAAAACAACATGAAAAGCTACAATAAAAGTTTGGATTTAAATTTGCTATGAAGGATCAAAGTAGGCTAGTTTACCATATATGTTTTTGCCCATGGACTAGATTTTTTTGGCAGCAATAAATTATCACTTAATTCTATATAAGGAAAATGTACGGCATCCATCCACATCCAAGAGAAAAGAGTTTCTAAAATTATCGCGATGAAAATATATCATTCATGCAGAAAATTCCCATAAATGGGTTTAATTCAATTTTATTGGAAGAAAACTACCTAACAACGGAAACAAACTATCCCATCTGAAATATTTAAATCAGATATCGGAGCCTGAGAATCAATAATCAGGCATCAACGAAAAATGTGTAAGTGAAATTTAAAAACAAAAGTAACATCACCCATCGTCTGCGTTTTGACGTATGTTTTCTTTTTTTTTTGGCCGAACGTGATGGATGGTTGTCAAGAATTTGCACGGCGCAAAATGGCAACGCGGCCAATGTGCACTTATAAAAGTTGGCCCGAGTAAAGATAACATGGCCACGCAAGACAAGTATTGATATATACTCTACTAAACTCTAGAAGACTATCCGGAGCGAAATTTTTCTCGAAATTGTTGCACACCACTTAAAAAATGCAAATGAAGATCGGAAAATGCAGCTTTGACGTACTAAGTGACTCCGTCATTACCCCGGGATAGATAGTTTACCTTGTCACCTAGATTGCGGCATTGCCAGTTCATAGGATAATTTTGCTACCTCTGCCATTTTGCTAGAATGTTATATAAAAAAAGAAGCTTTGAATAAAATATTGAGGTATACCAATGGAGATACATAAAATTTGAGGAGTAGCAATGTTTCCCAAATAACTAAAAAACGCTTTTATAAATTCCCAGTTTTATAGGATAAAATACTTTTTGTCTTCCAACAATTGAAAAAAACAATGTTTTATTATATAAATATATTTATTAACTATTTAATCTAAAATTACCTGATCATTGATAGAAGAAGTAGCATTTTCATTTTTTCTACTATTTATTAGGGAATATGGTTTTTTATTCTGGGTTTAAATATTTATACAATCGAGAATCGCTAGCATGCCTCAATTATTAACCTAAAAAAAAGTAGGATTAATGTAACGGTTTATACGAGGGTAATTTTTTAAGTAAGAACCGTTTTGTAATCCAGTCTGAGAAATTTTATTTATGAATGTAAATTGAATCACAAAACTTGTTGTCACCAAAGATTACACGCTAAGCAATTTTTCTGATTTTATTGTCAATATATTTTGTATATTGTTTTTAGACAGTGCTAGTCAGCTTATGTAGTGAAAAATAGTCGTTGTGGAAGTGATTCTTTGACTAATATTGATCTGGCGATTGAGAAATACCTCAGTATATGACTAATCTCTCAGTGTATGCAATGTGCGCAATTCATTAAAAACATAGGATGCCAACCCTAACACACAACTAGATGAGTATGCAAGGCTCACCTGGTTTGCTTCCCTCCAAAGTTGGAGGTAGACCTAATTTCTGGAGACACTTGACACCGTCACAACACTAAAACACCAAAGCAATACTGAGAGACAATAGTGAACACCACTACTGAAAAAAAGTAGCTAAACCGAATAGAGCTCTGCACGGAGCTATGAATACCTAGACATTCCGCTGCGCCAACGGTTGCCGAGAGACTGAAGCGGTCAACGTAAACATCGAGTCGCTTCGGGAGCAGACGCGCGGAGTGGGAGCTGGAAAGGGGCGTGGCTGTACTACCCGGCCGTACCGTATCGCCGCAGCGAGGTACAGCACTTGCACGCTTCAGTCTCTCAGCATCCGTCGGCAAAGCGGAATGTCTACGCGTTCACAGCGTACAGACCTCTATTCGGTTTAGCTACTTTTTCAGTAGTGGTGTTCACTATAGGGTTCTCGATTGGCTTTCAGTGGTGTTGTGACGTGGGTGTCAAGTGTCTCGAAAGTGGAAATTAGGTCTACTTCCAACTCTTCTGAGGGAAACTGGTGAGCCTTGCATGTTCATCTACTTGTGTGTAAGGGTTGACATCCTATGTTTTTTTAAATAAATTACGCACATTGCATGCACTGAGAAATTAGTCATAAACTGAGGTATTTGGAAAAAACTAAAATTTGGCCAAATTTGACTTTGTCAAAAAACTAATGGTGATTTAGGCACTACATGGTGTTCTTAAAAACGTGCTACACTGTATCTAATAGCAGCTTTTTCTACGACTTCAACGATATATCAAGTTACATTTGTTATTTAGTTATAAACAAACGTGTTTTTTCTACTTTTTCATTATATTTAAGTAGGCTTTGCTAACAAATGCTTGATGTAACATGGTCTTTCTTAAATTAGGTGTCACTTCAATGACAACACTAGTTCCGCTCTTGAATCTGTGCCAACACCTGCATTTTGCCTCGGTTTTCGGCCATCACTTTTTTACTATTAGTCGGATCTTCATTGGTATTCCTCAATATTTTATTTAAAAATTCTTTTTTCATTATAACATTCTAGCAAAATCGTGCGATGAACTGGCAACGCTGCAATCCAGGTGACAAGAATAACAAGTCAACTTTTAAGATGTATGTCTATGTCTATTCCGGGGTAATGAGGGAGTCACTTAGAACGTCAAAGCGGCAGTTTTCCAATCTTCATTTGCATATTTTTAAATGTTATGCAACAATTTCGAGGAAAAATTTAGGTACCGATAGTCTTCTAGAATCTAGTAGAGTATCTTGCGGTAGCTGTCTTGCGTGACCATGTTAATTTTACTCGGGCCGAAAAGTTCATTTACATACAAAAAACAAGACGCTACGAACAATTTTTTTCTAGATTTATACCCCATTCATTATAGCCAATGTTGCACGAGTATCCATTACGTTTTGACGTCTACTGAGGTGAACAGTTGATTAGCAAGTGACATTTTTGTATTAGTCTGCAACATTGACAATAATGGATCGGGTAGAAATCTAGTAAAACTCATTTGTGGCGTTTTGTATGCAAATAAACTTTACTAAATAATAGAGCTGTTAGCAAGTAGAAAATGAATTTGTAACGTACAAAAAACCAAAACAAAATACTATGCTGACTGATCCGTCAAAATTATGTGTCCTGTGCCGATATGAGGAATTTTGAGATATTACTAGATAATCAGCTGTCATTCTACGGTGATGGATACTCATGAAATAGGATATATGTGGTCAAATGTCAGTGAAATTTGAGGGTTATGTTTACTTGCAGTAGTTACATAAAGTAAATTTTAATTTAAAAGTGATTTTACAAAATGCAGTTGCAATGGTTACGAAGACTCGTTCGAAACAACACCACTCGTATTCCAGAAACCACAGCTGAAAAATGGAAACGTAGACTATCATTTGCATATGCACTTATAGCTTGGAATGCATTTGGTTTTGTATGTTATGAAATTTACAGTGGGAAAGCAGATTGGGCAAAATATTATGGCATAAAGAACGAGGACGATGAGAAATTAACACCAGGTAATAGAAACATCAACGAAGCGTACTGTATATTTAAAAACATTTTTTGTAGGGCAACAATGGGCTAGAACTCTTGGTGTAAAAAACGCTGAAATTTATAGAGTATCTGGATTCAAAGTAGAAAAAGTAGCAGACAAAGAAATAAAACCACAATAAAATACTTTTTTAAAACAGCTATTCTCTGTACAAGCACTTAAAACCTACTTAAAATTTAGGAACATTTTACTGTTTAAACTTAAATCATAGTACTGGAAGCATTATGACTTGTTAGGAATTTCTCCATCACAACCATCAATGCAGATCTACAAGTTACCTATAAAACATATGTCGACTATATTCTGCAGCAGGAGCATATAGTCTGATCAACATTGCACTGTAACATTCTAATTCATCGAGTCTGAACATGTCCCATCGCAGTTTATGGTCTGATTCAATGCTAGCTGTAAAACCAGATATTTTAAATTGTGTACAATACTGTAAATATAGTAGCAAGTTTATTTAATAAATTGAAGAAAAACACTTGAATTTCATTGAATAGATGTAGACTAAAATGAAATTGAGGCAATCCACACCCAATAGAGGGACTTCATAAAAGAGTAGCACTATTAAAGCATAAGGCAATGTTCTCACTGCAAGCAACCTGACAAGTCACTTGGTTGTGATTTTTGAAATTTGAATTACGAGAGCGGTCCTATAAGTACTGAGTCTCACCACCCAACGGTGCCACTATCGCAAGATTCACGTAGACAACTGTCAAAATTTCAACCGAATCCAGTGTTGCCAGGCGTGGCGATTTTCGCCAAAGTCGCGATTTAACGGCTTCAAAAGGCGACTAAAATGGATTGCTTGGCGATTGGCTATTTTACGGCCGTATCATCAGTCGTTCCTACCATTGTAGGACGCCTTTATGGCCTCCTTGATTGTCATAGTCTTTTCTCTCATTCATAAATTTCTAGATTTCACCTGTACCGTGTCAGAGTCCTCCTATTGTGAAGTTATGTTTTCTTTTTGAATTGTAGGACATTTCAGGCTAATAAAACAGATGATATAAATCAAAAGCACAAACAATTTGATGTAAATAGATATTTGTGACAACCTCAAAGTAGAGTGCTGACACGGAAGGGAAGAAAACTATGACAATCAAGGAGGCCATAAAGGCGTACTACAATTGTAGGAACGACTGACGATACGGCCCTTAGTGGCGCCCAGTATCCAGCAAATTGCCGATATCTGGCGACTTTTAACATATCAATCAATTTTTGCTAATGAGCACATTGGCGTTTATGAGTAAATGTCAAGTCAGGTGTATGTGTTCCGAGCATATCAACAACATCCCATCCCAACACTTTTGACACAGTGTTGCCACATGTACGATTATTACCGTTTCTGAAAAATAACCGGTAATAGAAACACTAACAATGAAGCATACTGTATATTTAAAAACATTTTTTTTGAAGGGCAACAATGCGCTAGACCTCTTGTTGTACAAAATGCTGAAATTTATAGAGTATCTGGACTCAAAGTAGAAAAAATAGAAGACAAAGAATAAAACAACAATAAAATACTTTTTTAAAACAGCCGTTCTCTGTACAAGCACTTAAAACCTACTTAAATAAAATTTAGGAACATTTCACTGTTTAAAGTTCATTCACAGTACTGGAAGCATTATGACTTGTTCTGAATTTCTCCATCTCAACCATCAATGCAGATCTACAAGAAAAAAGTTTATATTGAAGACGTACAGAGTTGAAAAATAGTTCAAGTTACCTATAAGACTCATATCTCATGACTATGTTCTGCAACTCCTGCTTATATAGTCTGGTCAACATTGCACTGTAACATTCTAATTCATTGAGTCTGAACATGTCCCATCGCAGTTTATGGTCTAATTCGATGCTAGCTGTAAAAACAGATATTTTAAATTGTGTATGATATCGTTGCAAGTTTATTTAATAAATTGAAGAAAAACGCTTGGATTTTATTGAGCGACATCATAAAAAATAGCATAATAAACTCACTTTTGAAATAGACGTTGAGCCAATGAGGTATCCTCTCCAGCAAATACGGATTGGCGGGTACCAACACACTGTGCGGTTGGTAGTGCTGGGCCGCAGCGACGGGAGGCAAGTACTGCCTTTGTTGTTGCTGGGGTTGAGCGTGTTGAGGTTGCTGTTGAAGCTGCGCGTAAGGCACTTCAGGGGTCACAGCAGTCGCCACAGGCGCCGCGTAACTGTAGCAGGGTACCAGGCACGGGTGTTCGTATTGAGCGCGCTGCGTTATGTGGCTGCAAATGACGAACGCTTTTTCAGTACCTCAAGAATTAGAATGGCGAAAAATGAAGAAAATAAAAAGAGGTGTGCAGAATATTTTAAGAAACACGCTCCTGTCTACAATCAATCACTGTAATAAGCAAGTTTTACTCTATACTATTCAAGCTTCAACTGTCACTTGCGGTATGACATTTTAAGCTGGCGGTGCTCATCGATAAATAAGAGTTTTTCTTCTCCAGAAATATGTTACTAGAATCATTGCAAATCTGAATTTTCAGGGATTATTCTCGATCCTCAGGCATTTCAAGAGTAATCTATTCAAATGCATTTCTTTGGAAGATTACGCGTGTAGATCACAAAGTTCTATTTGCCTCGGGACCATGTGCTACTTTAGGATTTTATGATGGTTATTGAATCCTGTACCCCGAATTACTTACTTGACATAGTAGACACCGTATATTGGCGATTGGATACACTGCCAACCAGTAGGCAACCCTTCCCTCTCCAAAGGATGAGACCAATGGGTTGTCTTGGTGTTGTGGTCAATATAGTACTTTCTACCTCTCAATGTATAGTCAACTGACCAACCTGGCGGTAATGGAAGCTCTTCCGATTGCTCCGCTTTAAAAAATCAGAATGATCAATTGGAGCATTGATGGAGCTGAGTGAATATTTAAAAAGCAAGTTGAGTATCCGATAACGTAGAATAATATCTGATTATCAAGTAGTATTTCAAGGTTCCCCATATCGACAAATGACATGTAATTCTGAAGGAACCGTCAACGCCAGGTAGACAGAGCGCACTTGTATTACGTAAAAAACCTATAAAATGTCATCTTACAGACTAGGTAGTTTTTAGGGTGCAAACAGTCACTTCCCGTTCGTTCACTAGCACCGTTGTGAGCGTCCATCTATGGAGGAATGGCTCGACTACATGCACTGATGGTTGCATATGTTTTGTGAAGCCAATCTGTAGTTTTCGTCTCTGAGAAGAAAGTTGGTTGAATAGGAAGATCATATCTGGGTGATTCTGTATATTGGTCTACATGTGTATGAAATCAATGATATTTGCTGTGTGAGAAAATCATTACTGAATATGCTGCCGATAAAGTATATCTATTAGCTGTGCCCGATGGGTTATTTATATGTTCTCCTTTCTGAAGACAAGTTATGTCCAAAGTTATAAATTTTAGATTTTTTACATGTTTTGTGTCAAAAGCTTTGAGAAGAATTACGGGAAATCACCACCGCGCCCACGTTGTATGTAATTACTGTTAGCGTGTTAATGACTTGTAATTCGACAGTGTACAGTGAATATAATTATTTCTTATCTCTATCATTTTGGAAATTCAGCAAATATGCATGTGTAATTTCCAGAATGGATAAGAAAAAGTGGAAGCCCAGTTAATTTCTAGCTTTGAATCTCGAGAAAGTGTATTTGAGACGGATGGCCGGATGGTCAGTAGACGTCAAGACGGATACTCGTGAAATAGGGTTTAGTGGTGAAGATGATATTCCTACAAGCCCAACCTGCATTTTTATCATAGCTAGACCTTTGGCCTACATCATTAATAACTGTTTAAAATATGGTATATTCCCAGACAAACTTAAATCTGTAATTATAATTCCAAGAGATCCACAGAAAATAACCCACAATCCAATCCAAATAAACCTAGGCCCGCACGAAAATAAGCGTAAGTTAAAATTCATGCTGAGTCAAACATTTTGTGAAAATACACGAATTTCATAGATATAACTATTATTTTGTCCAACTTTGTAAAATAACGAGCTTCATTTCCTTAACTATAAAACGTGCATAAAAATGGAGCATTTACCTTGAGTATTGTCAGGCCTTCTCTGACCATGCCTCAAATGATGTGCCAACGACTCACCATATGATATACCTGGAGTCAGTCCTCTGTATCTTTCCAAATTAGTGTTACTATAAATGGGAGTTGTGTCCTGGTTCAGGACCATAGAATTTTTGTTCGTGTTTTGGTATATTGGAGAGCTAGCTCTGTTGTAATTTGAATCTTTATAGACACTGTTTGAGTCTTGTGTCAAAGGATATATTTGGTCAATGTCCACATAGTTTGCATTACTCTAGAAACACAAAAAAGTAAGAATGATGAGAAGTGACGATATACCAATCACAAAAAATTGTAACACTTACCGGTGAGTCATCATTGTGTAGAGAATTTCCAATGTGCTGATTTATATAGATAGGTTGTGAAGCATTGACTGTTTGGCTAGAGAAATTGGCATGAACAGCTGGATTGTTTTCACTAGATAGACCTACAGATAGATTGGAAAACCTGCAATATATATGTATTTATTGAGTTTTCATTTTTTGTTCCAAAATCCTTATGGACTCAAATATATATTCATTAAAACTGCACCACATTATTTTTTTGAGTAGTATCAAAAATGCTTGGATACTTCTGTTTTTTCCTCAATAACTGCATTACACAGTACCAGAACTCTACAAAATTGCAGTAATTTCCATCAGATTTATTATTTTTTATTGCTTATAAATGTGTCACATTTTTTTATAGAATTAAGTGGTTTTATTCTTCATGAGTTAATTAATGATCTTAATACGTTTTTTGCTAGCAAAGTAATTATTACTCATAAACAAGTGAATATAAATGGTGAACAAATCTCTTAAAGCTATTTTGAAATAAATTGGTTTCATGTCAGTTTTTGATTGATGCATTTGAAAGAAAAAGAAATGATTCAATATTTACATAGACCAAAATGCTCAAATTTCTCTCTTACTACCCTCAAGAAATACAAAATTGGGAACACGTAAAGGGATCTGATGCTGTTAAAATTGTAAATGTAAATTGTTTAAATACTTTTTAATGTTATACCCTCATTCCTAGTTGAAAATTGATGATGATAGAGGTTTCAGACATTTCAAAAACATAAAAAATACCTACTTAATTTCAGCTTGTTTTTTGATAATTTAGAGATCCTGAAACGACCATTTTTTCTGTGACAATTTTTTATTATAAGAAATGGTATGGTGCTATCATGAAAAATATATATTATGCCAATTTTGAACACTTTTTGATAATCAAATAAAGTAAACACACAATGAGCCATAAGTAATGACAAGTCACAACACTTTTATTCCCAAGGTTTGAGCTTGGGAGGATATTCTAGAAGGATTACTTTGTTCTATTTTCAAATACATGAAATAGGCAGCATGTCTATTAATTATAAACACTTAAGTTGTAGCCTAAATTGTAAGTGGACCCTTTCAGTGCTTTGAGGTACAATTCCAAAATATTTAAAAGAAAAATTGTTGTAGCATTGTGATTCTTCTAAGCTGCCCACTGTAAAGACAATATGAATTCCTGTGAAATTAAATATATATAATACCTTGTAGCTAGATCAGGTACAGAGGCACTAGGAGTATATTTTCCCTCATGAGCACCTAATCCAACATCGCTTATGGTCGTTTTCTGGTTGCCGAACTTTTGCACAGTAGTTGAAGGGTTATTGGCATTAGCATTTTGAAATAAGGAAGACCTATTTTGATTTGAGTTACGTCTCTTCGGCTCAGTAGTCCAAACGTTGATGACTGCAAGCAGAAGTCATGTGAGCCAGTGAAAAATGATTGGATTGAATGGTGTACTTACTTGGCATCTCAGGAGGGGTGTCCTTTTTGACATATTTACCAACAACCCCTTCCCTGATCGTCCGAAGATCCTTGTTTTTCCTGGACAGCATTTTTATCGAGTGTTATGGATCACAGGTTGACAATTAGTCATGTTCGGGAGCGCCTAAATTCTGCCAAAATCCCGAAAAAATAATTGTGGTTATATTATATAAACACCTAGCTGGTTTCCAGGATGTTCTTCTGGATTGACTTCCTAGCAGGATGGGCAGGAGGTAATGTAACACTTTGCATTGTACTTTTTTGCTCCGTCGAGGTGCAATGTGGAAATATTAGCAAAGTATTTCAGTCATTGCTCTTGGTTATAGAGGTACATTACAGAAACAAAGAGAGGGAAATGAAATTTTGGTTTACATTTTTGTACGCTTGCGTCCTAAAGGAATTCCTCAAAAAAATAAGGAATGAAAATCGGCTATGTAACCACTTTCACAGACTTGTAACACTGGTTGCCTGAATCCCGTAATTTACGTGTTATAGACTAGTCAACTAGTCCAAAAAACAATATATACAGGGTGACTTCGAAGTTGAGTCATTTATTTTAACAGTGAGTAGATCTGATCAAAAGAAATGTGTTTTTCCTTTACCATTTTTCTGGTAAAATTAAAGTAACAAAGTTATAGCCCTTTGGAAGTTTGAGTACCGCCCTGTCTCAATAATAATATTATGTGCTCGTGTTTGGCGACAACGGATATAATCCGCCGTATCGGTTCATCGCATCGGAAACAAAAAAGCGAAAGAATTTGGAACGATGTTTTTACAATTATTTTATTCATTTGTATACAGTCAGTGTCAGTGAATAGTGGTGTCTGTTGCGTGGCTCAAACGAAATAAAAAATGGCACATGTTTATGCGGATCGGTTTCCCAATCGAGTGCAACCAACCCCTCGTGCCTTTGTTAATGTAGTACAACGGGCTCGTGAATCAGGTGACGGCATGCCGGTGCTCCAAGACCTCACGATCAAATACAGGTCCGCACTGAAATACTTGTCGGGAGGATACTTTATAAAACAAGGTAAACTTTTTTATAATTTTTTTTTATTTTTACACACATATTTTGGTTTATCTTCCTTCTACAATCATTATCTGAAAATTAATGACTCAACTTCAAAGTCACCCTGTATAATAATGGATTTTTATTTTAGTCCATTACTGATAATAGGTTTTCTTGATGAGACTAACCGTTTTCATTATCTATTATATAAATTACACATTTTAGAACGATTTTTATAGACGGAACGGCGGATGAAAATACACCAAGGTGGTTCAGGGCAATTTTTTTCATTTCGTACGTTCATGGTGTTCCATATTTGAAATGTCGGAAAGAAGAATTAAAAAAAATCAATGCAAATGACGATGACTAATGCGCATTTTATTATCTCTCAATTTGACGAGTTGGCAAAATTGAGAATTCTCATTGAAGGAGACAATGTTTGTTCTGACGTCGTTAACGAAGTTGTCGGCATACCAGTGTTCAACTATTTGTTGGACAAGAAGGAACGCCAATAGCAGTAGACTAGATGCGTCAGCCAAATTGGTCCTCACCGTATATATTTATTTTTTTCAGGGATAGCCAGTTTGATAGTCGGGCATCCCTTGGAAACTATCAAAGTTAGACAGCAGACTTACAATACTACCCTTCTTCGAACTGTTCGACAAACATTTAAATGTGAGGGTATTTTTGGTTTCTATAAAGGAATATTCCTCCCTATTTTCACCTATGGTCCATCAAATTCTCTATTTTTCGGAGTATACGCCAACGCTCTGATACTGATAGGAAATCTAGACCATGCCAGTTGCATATCTTCCGGAACGTCAAGGGATATCTACATAGCAGGTAAAGATTCCTTACTTATTTAAGTTTCATTCAGAGATATGGATACGAAAATACAACAAATCTTAGTGATATACGCGAATAGTTGAACATTATCCATGTTAAAAAAAGGAAAATCAATCAATCTAGTAACTACAACTTACAATGTATAGAGTGTGCCTGCTATATATGTACATATGAATTTTAACTCACGTGACTGCGTCAGCCAGCTTTTTTTAACGGATTTTAAATCGATAAATTTTTTGCAAGACCCTGGAATTGTATTGAAAATCGTTGCTGAGACCAAATCCAGAATCTTTGTAGGTGTAAGTTTTTCTCCGGCTTTGTGAGACAGCATTTTTTGCAGCGTGCCATGCAGTGTTCAATTTGCCTCAATGAGGACCTGTTTTTATACTGAAAAGTAATAAGATGCCTCAATAAACGCGTAGGAAGTATATGTATTTCTTTTTTGTACATCAATTTGAGTATGTATTTTTCTACACATTCGAGATTTCTGAGATGGCTTGAGGCCACAGCTCTCCATTCAGTGATATCATAGTTTAAGTGAGACTTAACAAGTGCAATATATAATGTTACTCAGTATATGATTGGCTATCAGTAGGTAGAAAACGTTAACCAACGGTTATATATTGAATTTTAGGATGTATAGCAAGTATACCACAAACACTGTTATATTCCCCAATAGACAATATAAAAATTATTATGCAAGCAAGCTTAGCAGCGCCTGAATTTAGAAAATTTGATGTATCGAAAACAGAGGTTGCCCCTGCGTTTAGAAATACGCTAGAAGCATTTAAATATATTTATAGAACTAGAGGATTGATCGGTCTCTATACTGGATTATGGGCCACAATGGTAAGGTACGTACGTTATCATCAAATAAGTGATATTTTAAGGCTGCAGACAACCTTACAGTTGAGACATGAAATCAAAGACGAAACAAATTCTTGGATATTTTGCCTATCTTAATATCCCATTTATCTTGATTCTCTGCTCTTTGGTTCATTAGTTACTGTCGAAGTTCCATTAAAATCCGATGAGCAAAGCAAAAAACCGTAATATCTAGATTTCGGAGTTTTTGGGGACTTTCTTCACCTATCGAGGTTAGCCGTGAAAGCGGTGGATTTACTGAGAATCGGAAATATCAACATTGCAAATTGTTCGTCAGTGCCCGCCGCTGCGAAGCGGAAAATCCATCCAGCTGAGAATCCCGCAGCAACTCTCGATCAGATCTGGATAATTATTTTCTCTTATATGCCTAATTCTAGATGAGATTTTTATTTGTTTCTTCTTGTAGTACACTTTATTTCTTTGTCCGCTTCCTTGATCCGTTTTGAATCGGATTATAAATTAACAAAAATAACGTACATATAATTCAAAAAATTTAACCGCAAAAACACGTCATAATAACGTCCTACAGAACACGTACACAACTGATGGGCATTTAGTAGACGTCATTACTACGTTGGTATTTGGAATCACGTCAGCTGACGAGTTATCACCAAATTTCGACGTCATTGTGACTCACTTTTGCTAGCTGGAAGTTGCGAACACGTATAACAAAAAAAATCAAACAGGCTTATATATTGAAAAATGGTAAATTTAGCATGCTGATGTGTACAATTTTCAAAAACTTTATTTTAGTAGGTACGCTTCCACACAATATTATCTCTGGTGAATGAATGACCCTCCCCCTCCCGACAGACAGACAAACAGACCGACAAAAATGGGTGACACAGATTTCATTTTAGAAATTTTTCGCGATCACAATACTTTCTTGTCAGTAGGCGTGGGTAGTAAAATCATATTCATTTTTCCAGAGAAGTACCAACCGGTGGCATTTACACTCTAGTACACCAGAGGCTGAGATATCACGATCTTCAAAATACATCTCTTAGCAATTTATCGAAAGAAATAATAGCAGGAGGCATGGCAGGTAATATTGTTAATATTCCATTTAGCAAGATTCTGTGGGCTGTGCTTTTAGGCACTCCCGTGCTTGCTTCTATTTATCGTAAGTGAAGAAAGATAGTATAAAGTTGGAATTATAACACACAGACCTTAAACTGAGCGCCTGATAATCTGAAACTAATGTTTCAGGAATTTTATCCATATCTGTCGCAGTACCAATAGATGTTGTGAAGACACGCATACAAACAGACAACAAACGTTACTTCGGCATAGTACAAACTGGATTCAAGCTATACAAAGAAGCAGGCATAACGATATTTTTCAAAGGGATGATCGTAACTTGTTTGAGAGCATTTCCGGCACACGCTGCGATGTTCACGACATACGAATTTGTAAGTGGTCTTTACGATAAAATGAAATAAACGTGTATGCCAAAAGTATCGTTTATTCTTAAACTCTTTATCGAAAGTTATGATGAAATCGTATTTAAAATTGATGAGTATTTTATCATGATTGAACGTTTAACGTATACTAAGGATAACAATGACGTCGAGTAGGTTGACTTTACTCTTCCTGCGCAGAGAGGCGCATATAAAATTAGTCCATACTCCATAATCGCAACGCTATCCGGAACTCATTCAGTATGGAAATGCGAGAAACTGACAAGAATTCCAAGAGGAAATATTAATCTTAAAAATCAGCTTTGTGTTCTCATCCAATCATTATTAGTCCTCATCTGGTTCCTTTGTGGTAATCCCACATGGCGTGTCAATTTAATATATGTTATTTTTTTCTCTTTTTCATTAATTCGCTCAGTTGAACATAAAATCGATTTATTCATTTTTAGGTGGTATGCATCTTATTTTGCATTGTATGCATATATTTCCTCACACAAAACTTCGCCTTACTGTTGCGATTCTAATAAAGACATTTTATTATTATTAGTAGTATTTATCAAAGAAAGGACTAATGAAAAATCTGCGAAAATTCTCGCACGTCTTTGGTCTGGAGCTTGTTTTCTAGGTAAATCGGTTGCCTAGATTCCGAATTCGATGTCAATTTGATGCTAGGATTCACGGGTAGCCCAGGGTAACTAATTTCTTACCAATTTTTCACGATGACATTCATATTCAGCGCTTCAAATTACCTTGTTCTACAAAGTTTCGCTCACATGTAGCCACCAATAGTAAAAGTGGATTTTAAGCACCTTAAATTCGTAAAAACGCATAGTTTTACATGTGCTTGATTCGTTTGCTCGACGTTAGATTTTCGGTCTGTACGTGGTTTAAGAGTATCCAAGTCATCCAAGCTAAGTGTCACCAAGTAGAGGATTACTCTAAAGCATAGTTGCTCTGTAAATGTAGCAAATAAAGACGACTATTATTATTATTACTAAATTGCGAGAAACCATTCACGCATTCACAATCTCGTAGGTTCTCGTCGAGCAATCAAAGTAAAACACACACTTTGGATGAAAAGTACCGATTTATTGTCGGCTAATAAAAACAAGATAAAACAGAAAAGCTTAATAGCTAGTGATTAAAAATGTTTTGCTCAGTACTATTCAACATCATATTTTCCGGCAGTTTAACTAAGTTAGGTATAAACATTTGTTTTTCGATTTAATTTTATAACAGCAACTTTTGTTTCTTATAATAAACTATCAATCTTATACAGAAATAATGATGAAACACGTTAAATTCAAGTACTTACACAGAGGAAGCTTTTCTCATTTCTACTAACCTTAGGCAGTTCAGAAATCGTATTATAAAAATTTATTTGGGATCATCATAGTAGCCGCGGTGACCCGGCATTTAGGCTTCTGCCTGCACGGCTGCTTCAATAAAAAAAAAACAGATATCATTCAAATTTTTATTCCATTGCACATTGTTTTTATGCTCTAAAAATCAATTTTCAATAATAAATTGTGATCATTTCAAATGTGATTTCTATACCCAAAGCACTCAATGCTCCTAGTAAGTTAAAAAAATTACAAGACTTTTGCCTCAATACGTTTGCAAACCACACCAATCTTTCAGAAGACATATTCTGCTACCTCAAACTGGTAAACTGAGGATGGGGCATCTTCTTCATAAAGGTTGCCTTTTCTATACAAAGTAAACAATCTGAACCACAGTTCTTTGCCTTATAACGATTCTCAGCTAACCATTCAAGTTAAAAACCGACTGCATTTGGATCAGTAAATCTGGCTGTCAGTATATAGAACACAGTAGGGAGAGGTACCAACATCAACAGAGGAGCATGTGTAAGAGGCTGTTTTAACTGTGTGACTGCGACGAGTCCATAAGCATGAAGTCCCCAATGCCCTAAGAGGATGACCAAGTTCCTTGGGTCAGTCACAGCGCCTTTAGCAAGGGCTGCTGCACTTTGGTCCATTTTAGAAGCAAAATGGGCTGCTACAGATATCACAGATAAGATGATGGTTAGGTATGGATAGGAGTAATCTGAAACAAGAAAATGTGGGCTGAAGTTTTCAGACTTCATGTCATGAGAATATAAAATAGAGCCCAACAAATAATTTTTTTATCATTTACAATAAAGTCCTGGAAGTTGTGACTTTCATTTTCAGAATTTGAAATAAAGTTAATTTGTGGTACAACATAATCAAAAAAAGAAATTGGGGGAAAATACTATTTGATTGGTACAGCATTTAAAGTACTGCCCTGTCACAAACTTTATTTGTAATATACAGGGTGGACCATCAAAAGTAACTCATTTGTGACTCCCCTGCTCAACGTCAATTTTGGTTTCTAGGGGGACGTCTTTTCATTTATAGCCATACAATACAGGGTGATCCAAAAATAAGATCTTGCATTACACTTTTGATTGTTTTGATACTGATAATAATAACTTTATTGTACAAAAGTAACTAAAGCTTCATGGCAAATATACTGCTATAGATGGAAAGATGTCCCCTAGAAATCAAGATTGACGTGACCAAGCTTTTTCCCAAAATATACCAAGTGAGTCACAAATAGGGATACAACCTTTCTGTTGGGCCACCCTGTATACATAATTTTAGGTATACAATTCTTATCAGACAGCATAAAGAAGGATCTGAAAGATGCTAGTAGCATCTAGACTGTAGAAGAATACAAAAATAGATTTAGAAATTTACTTTGAAAAAAGAGTGTTTGGTTCTGCATAGATGGTGCTCTTCAAAGAGTAAATTTCCAAGTTCATTTTTGTGTTATGCTACTATCTCATAGATGGAGCTAGTAACTTACAGACCTTTTTTGGTAGGGTTGAATATGATAATCAAACGCATTATTAAACTTACATATTAAACCACCAATGACTGCATGTGCTATGAGTAAAATAGGTATGAAATACATAGCTGCATAAATGGACATTTTGCTTTGCCTTGGAAAATATCTTCTACACACCCAAGGCCTTATTGTTAGCATCGCAACCAAACAGGATATGTAGAAGACAAAAACAATAGTGTACCTAAAAAAGATATTTTAAAACTGCATTTTGACATTTTCAATTGTATCAATCAGGATAAGGGAATATTGGCAAGCATTATAGTGAAAACGATTAAAATTCTGTGCAGTATTTATCAGGAAAGATCTGTTGGTTTTATATTCCTATAGCTTTCCTTTGAATAACTTACTTTAGATTCTACAAAGTGATATTTTTGCTAATTTTTTACATTACATATATGTAATAATGCATAACAACATACAAGGGATAGACTGCTTCCTGTGTGCAGTATAGCTTCTTCTCAAAGTTTGGCATAGGGTTGTGGAACAAAGTATACCAATCTGCTATAGACCTAACTTGACAGCTATGTATAGTAAAGTTACCAAAAGGGGGCAATATAACCAGGGAGAACACACTTGCAATCAGTACTTCGACAAATGCTGTGGTGTGGAGTATCAGTAGATCTTTGCTGAAACTGAACAAACATTATATTGTATTTACTTTTCAAATCAAAGCACTTACGTTCTTCGCATTGACACAAGATCTATGGAAAACCAATGTAAAATGAGCATGAGTAGCACCATGAATCCTAGATATAACCAGTCGTATAAGGCCGGAGAGTCAGTACATGGTTCGCAGATAAAAGTTGTGTCATTTCTCCTGAAACCCCTGGGGCAGGGGCCACAATCACCGATTTCACCATCAAACGATAACACTTTTCCACAATACCAGCCGGGACAACTCATTTTTATGTATCATTTATAAAGAATCAATAAAGAGACGTGATACTACATCGTTCATGTTTTTTCAGTTTCTAAATTTTTGATTTTTATTTACTTTCCATATTCTGACTTTTGACATTTCCAGGAAGTGAGGTTAAACGTGTGACAGACGCATGACAGACGTCAAATATTGGTTTTCTGAAAAAAGATGGTGGCCGTTCATCATCACATTGCTTTCTGATTGGTGAATCTCATGTAACGTTCATTTTGACTGGTTCATTCAAATTTGTTCGACCAGTTTTAATCAGTTTCAGGGCAGTTTTTTAAAAAATACGCAAAATTTTGCGATATTTTTGTTACCGTTTCTCATCTAAAATCATTTTGTGAATTACTGTATAGTTATTTGGAAGTCGGCTTCGAAATTTTTTTTCTAAAGTTTTTGTACTGAACTGAACGTATCTCCCATCTATTTTCAGCCCTAGGTACTTACAGCATCGAATCGGTTTGAGTGCAAAATTCAAGAAAAGAAATTGGTATAATTTCGTGTAAATAGGAAACCCTAGGTGAACTGAATAAGTGTATCATAGTTTTGCCTTATTAAAAATGCTCAGTGTGAACGCCTGGGTGTAAAAATCAATTAATTTAGAGGATTTTATATGGATGTGACCAGCTGATGGCGGGTGAAAATACTGGATTCGCTTGGCAGTTTAGTGATTCCACTCTGTGTACGACGGTTGTTGTAGTTTTGTAAATGATTTTTGTCGGGAATGTTAGACATCAAAAAGAAAACGGCGTAAATCCGGTCGATACCGCGGGATTTTCACGAAAAATCACAAGTTGGGCGTGCACACACACCTTGTAGTTGTCATTGATATTTAGCAATCGTTCGTAAATTTAAAGGACTATTAATATAAATGATGCGCCTTAAAGACTGTAAAATTTGACCAAAAAGCAGTGCGAAGTGTTGAAATGCAGGGTTCCCCGGCGGTTATCCTGGTCTAAATAGTGAGTTTTAATTTTCATACGTCTTGGCCATTGGGATCGGTCATCGCGATGTCTACGACGGCTTTCGTTGATAGAATCGACCCCTTCGCGAAACGTTCGCTGAAAAAGAAGACAAAAAAGTCGCAGGGCAGCTCCCGGTATAGAAACTCCCAAGATGTTGAGCTACAGCAGCTACCACTTCTTAAAGGTAAGCCTACACCGTACATTTTTACCGATCACACCACATGCATCCTTCTACACGATCAATTTATCGTTGTGTTCCTAATATTTTGCCTCTCCCGTATGTAATCATAATATTTAGTTACATAACATTGTCCCAATTCGCGTGGCTACTCGGCAGAGTAGCCACCTGGGTGGCTTTTTTTTTTCCAAGCCACAACATACCTACACATGTTAGGTTAAAAAAAGTCCACTAGCCGCCTGCTTATATCACTTTTATTCGCCTATATTTACATTTTGCACGTCATAATATACCTACATCCTTGTATACATCCAGTATAGAGTTCACACATTCCATTCCACATTATTTAGCTGGCAAATTTAAAATGGAGTGTGAAATTTGGTTCAATATATCAGACAATATTTAGTATGAGAAAACTCGTGTCTAGCTTGAGTAAATTTAGCTTTATTTTCATATAATTCAAGAGTAAAATATGTACCATTGTCATAACGGTTTATTAAGTATAAATCTTTGCAAAATGAATGTGGCAGATAAGAAATTCAATATGATTGATATAAGTGCTAAAGCTTTTATATATTTTTTGTTTGTATAAAATTACCATATCAATTTCTCTCAAAAACAAAGATTATGAATGTTCTTTACCTCCAGTGTTGTCAGATTGCTATGAAATTCTGATATTTATTATATCTTCAGGTCAATCTAGGCTTGCTCTTGATGTGTTTGTATTATTTCTTCCTAAATTGCTACATGACCCCTGTTCAAAAATAGATAGTTGTTTTAGATCATTATACCGCATGTTTTTGATTATTATAAAGACTTGTTTAGTCTGATTCCCATATAGATTTCCAATAAGATCCACATAATGTTATTTGATTTTCCATTTTACAAAACCGCCTCAAATATGCTGCTAAAGAGCAAAGGTTATGGGCACAAGGTACATAAGATTATCTCAGTGATACTACTTGTATTCTTATCAGTTATACATTATGATTATTGTATCAACAAGAATCAATAAGGTTTTTTTTTTCAGTTTGTGTTAAGTTTCATACTTCCATTTGTATACCTGTCATTTTATTTATCTGGTAATACAGTATTATTTATGGCGCATTTTTACTTGTGCATGGTTATCAGCATGATATTTTTTGTTGCATAGAAAAGTGATAAAATAAATGCAAAATTGACATATTAGACCCACTACGAAACATAAATTTGGCTAAATGCCAGGTGACTGTGTAAATCATATACTAAATTGAGCTTGATCATAATGAGACAATTATTTGGGTAATCCTGTCTCCTTCACATATGAAGATGAGGCTGATTATGAAAAAATAGCAACATGACATTGTATTTTATATGATAGGTACACAATTATTTAATCTTTCATGCTAGTACATACAAAGCTTTGGATATTTAGCCTTTGTTTCGTCCGAAAACAAAAGGAAATAAAATGAAGTGTGAAAGGTATTTTTTGGTCAATGTTTTAGCCAAAACTTTACTAACATGATTAGTGCAAAAAATTATGTTGGAATGTTGTAATCTAAGTAGATATGATTCAGGTTGAGTAGGTAAGTAATAGCTAGTTGGTGTGAGGTTTTGACACTTTGAGATTTCTGAGATACAGTTTTGGATCACCTGCCTCTTCTTGTAGATATTTCTGAGCAATTCAATTCTTGTCACATTTTCAGTGCATATTAAACAATACCAGACATTGAATATATGTAATATGTTTCATTTTATCTATGATTGGGAAGAAAAGTTCAATATTAAGTTTTACTTTTCAGCCCAGACTTTTTTATGCCCTACTTTACTAAATTATTGCCTGCAATGTATAAATTAAGCTATGTTGAAGACAATATGGCAGTCAGGAGTACAGTCCCCAGTTTGTTGCTATTTGATGGCGCACTTAACAGTGTTATGCTCAAATTATTTTCAATTCTACGTGAAAGTTCCTCTGAATATTTGTTTTCAGCCAATCATGTACAGGGCCCGGCACAAAAATCGGACGGTTTTTAAAAAATGACAAAATCGGTAATTTTTACTCAAAAACAAATTTACTGACGGATTCGGGTTCACGATGGATCAGTACAGCACTTGTGCGAAGTGATTAAAGAGAAAGAACAGCTCGATTCCAATGAATATTGAAGTGGCGACGAAACTCAAGTTGTACAGCCGTAATAGACTCATAATGTTGGACAAAACTTTCGTTTGCGAAAACGTGTTGCTCAATGGTCCACTGGTCCATAAGTTCTACTGGTAAAAATGCTAGGAACTCCCGAGTAGGACGTCACGCCCGAATAGTTGGAGAGTACTAGCCATTTCAAAAACATCCGTCCTTTGTGCCCGACCCTGCATAAAATTATAACAGAGCTTATGCCCTTTGGCATGTATGATTGCGCCCCGTATTGTTTGTGATTGTTGCACTGTTTTCTTTACACTTGCAGTTATTCCCCATCTCCTTAAACTTTTTCTTGAGAAAAGCCCTATACATATTTATATGTCCTAATTACTAAATATTGCCACTATTTGCACTGTTTTATTCATGTTCCTTGTTGACTTAAATGTCAAATCTTTTAGCATCCTGTCATCTGTCATTTGGATGTATTAGGATCTATTAAGTGTATAATATAAATATCTATATTTTAATTATCAGTCAACAGTCATTATTAACTGAATCTTCCAAGTCAGTTCTAAACAAGATGTTAATTATATTTGTATTTGAAATAATACCTGAGACTCGACATCTTGGCATTTTCCTAGTTCATGCCATACATAAGATTTTCACAATAGGTGGTATCCAGTACAATATAACAATGCCAGTAACAGTTATTAACTTTGCAAGATATTTATGTTATCATCCTAAGTAAGAGATTGTATAATGAATGTTAAATATTGAAAATGATATATCTTAATGACTTTTTGTTATAGATAATCCGGAAGACTACCAGATGATCCATCTGCCAAAATTTAAGGGTAATTTTCGCCCCCTGTCATACAAAGATTCTTCCATTTTTAATTTAATTTAATTCCCGCCGTCCCCCTAAATGTATTTTGTTCAGTATGTTCATGCATCAGTAATGTTGCAACGAAATTTTCTTATTGTACCACCTCATTCTTTGAAGACGTAATCTGAAAATCCCTATCATGATTTTGTGTAGAACGCTAGACCTATGATGTTAGTGCTAGTTGGCTTGCTCAGTGTTCCAATATATTTTCCTCATTGTTGATCCTGGTGTAAATTCAACCCTATAATTTTCATATCCATTATGTAGTCACACATAATTATGTAAACTATTAGTTGTTAAAACATCATCAAGGCAATTCAAAATTTTTTGCCTGTTGACTGAAATTACTTTAGAATTCGATATTACTCCATTTACTCCATATGAATTTTTCTGATATTTACTGTGATCCATCAGTATATGTCATGGAATGTGAAATTTATTCGCCATGTATGACGTCAGGAAGAATGGTTGATGTAGAAATCTACTGACACTCATGGAATCGTCAGTAAATACAGATGGTGTGGACCACTGACATTTGTCTGGAGATTTAAATGTTGCACCCGGGAAAAATAAATCCTTCAACTTGATTTTTTGGCAATGAAGCGCCTATCTTGACGCTCTGTGGTACGCCTCGCCGGACCAGTCGGCCTTGTTCGTGTTCCTCTACCGTCTTTTATCCACACACGACACACACGCATTACCGTCATTGCACACGGCGGCCAATCTCGCGATAGGACAAACCAACATCTGTGTGAGGAACATTTTAATTTCCTTTCAAAAATAATATGGTCCGACGAGAGTATGGTCGCTAACAATGGTATCTTCAATCGCCGCACCATTCGTTACTGGGCTGAAGAAAATCTGGAGATTTAAATGTTACACCCGGGAAAAATAAATCCTTCAACTTGATTTTTTGGCAATGAAGCGCCTATCTTGACGCTCTGTGGTACGCCTCGCCGGACCAGTCGGCCTTGTTCGTGTTCCTCTACCTTCTTTTATCCACACACGACACACACGCATTACCGTCATTGCACACGGCGGCCAATTTCGCGATAGGACAAACCAACATCTGTGTGAGGAACATTTTAATTTCCTTTCAAAAATAATATGGTCCGACGATAGTATGGTCGCTAACAATGGTATATTCAATCGCCGAACCATTCGTTACTGAGCTGAAGAAAATCTGGAGATTTAAATGTTACACCCGGGAAAAATAAATCCTTCAACTTGATTTTTTGGCAATGAAGCGCCTATCTTGACGCTCTGTGGTACGCCTCGCCGGAAGAGTCGGCCTTGTTCGTGTTCCTCTACCTTCTTTTATCCACACACGACACACACGCATTACCGTCATTGCACACGGCGGCCAATTTCGCGATAGGACAAACCAACACCTGTGTGAGCAACATTTTAATTTCCTTTCAAAAATAATTTGGTCCGACGGGAGTATGGTCGCTAACAATGGTATCTCCAATCGCCGAACCATTCGTTACTGGGCTGAAGAAAATCTGGAGATTTAAATGTTACACCCGGGAAAAATAAATCCTTCAACTTGATTTTTTTGGCAATGAAGCGCCTATCTTGACGCTCTGTGGTACGCCTCGCCGGACCAGTCGGCCTTGTTCGTGTTCCTCTACCTTCTTTTATCCACACACGACACACACGCATTACCGTCATTGCACACGGCGGCCAATTTCGCGATAGGACAAACCAACATCTGTGTGAGGAACATTTCAATTTCCTTTCAAAAATAATATGGTCCGACGAGAGTATGGTCGCTAACAATGGTATCTTCAATCGCCGAACCATTCGTTACTGGGCTGAAGAAAATCTGGAGATTTAAATGTTACACCCGGGAAAAATAAATTCTTCAACTTGATTTTTTGGCAATGAAGCGCCTATCTTGTCGCTCTGAGGTACGCCTCGCCGGACCAGTCGGCCTTGTTCGTGTTCCTCTACCTTCTTTTATCCACACACGACACACACGCATTACCGACATTGCACACG